TGTTTTCTGGATAGTAGTTGTGAGTTCTTTGTGTATTTTGGTATTAACCCCTTGTTGGCTATGTCATTTGCAAATAACCTCTTCTCCCATTCAGTAGGTTGCCTTTTCGTTTTGTTGATAGTTTCCCTTACTGTGCAAAAGCTTTTTAGTTTGGTGTGGTCCCATTTATTTATCTTTACTTTTGTTCTTGCCTGAGCAGACAGATCCAAAAAAATATTGCTTACACGGATGTCCAAGAGATTACTGCATGTGTTTTTTTTTTTTTTAGGAGTTTTATGGTTTCCGGTCTCTAACCCATTTTGAGTTTATTTTTGTGTATGATGTAAGAAGGTGATGCAGTTACATTCTTTTGCATGTAGCTGTCCAGTTTCCCCAGCACCATTTAAGAGACTTTTTCCCATTGTATAGTCTTGTTTCCTTTGTTGAAGATTAATTGACTGTACAAGCATGGTTTTATATTTCTGGATTCTATTCTGGTCTCTTGATCTATGTGTCTGTTTTTGTGACAGTACCATATTGTTTGGCTTACTATAGCTTTGTAGTATAGTTTGAGATCAGGGAGTGTGATACCTTCAGCTTTGTTCTTTCTCAAGGTTGCTTTGGTTATTCAGGGTCTATTTTGGTTCTATACAAATTCTGGTACTATTTGTTCTAGTTCTGTGAAAAATGCCATTGGTGTTTTGATAGAGACAGCACTGAATCTGTAGATTGTTTTGGGTAGTATGCATGTTTTATTTTTGGGTAGTATGGACATTTTAACAATATTCTAGTCTATGAGCATGATATATCTTTTTATATACTTGTGTTGTCTTCAGTTTCTTTTACCAGTGTCTTACAGTTTTCAGAGTACTGGTCTTTTACTGTGGTTAAATTTATTCCTAGGTGTTTTGTTTGGGTTTGTTTTTGGGTGTGAGTGTAAATGGGGTTGTTTTCTTAATTTCTCTTTCTGATAGTTATTAGTATATAGAAATGCAGCAGATTTATGTATATTAATTTTATATCCTGAACCTTTACTGAATACATTTATTCTAATAGTTTTTTGGTGAAGTCTTTAGAGTTTTCTATATATAGTATGTCATCTGCAAATAAGGACAGTTTTACTTTTTTTCCAATTTGGATGCCTTTTATTTCTTGTCTGATTGCTGTGGCTACGACTTCCAATTACTGTGTTGAATAAAAGTGGCAAGAGTGGACATCCTCATCTTGTTCCTGATCTTAGAGGAAAAGCTTTCAGCTCTTCACAGTTGAATGTAATGTTAACCGTGGTATTTCATTTTTAAGTTTCTGTAATGGAGGGCTGTATCTACAGTCGATGGGGACATTTAGTGTAGTCTCTCCACCCCCGCCCGCTAAGCTACTGGTGTTGCATCTTACAATAGATGGTATCAAGTAGAGGAAATAGTAGTATGTAAAGCAGTTAATGCCATGTCAGGTACAATATGTATTCAGTAAGTAGCTGCTATCATTTTATTTTTAATTGAATAGAATTATGGTTCCTGTGTTAAGGCCATACCCTAGTAGGGAAACGAGGTCAGTCTACACACAGAACATCAGATTTGTGAGGTAGCCACCAGTGGGCAGGAGGGAAGAGCACCTCCTAGGAGCCTAGCTGTTGAATATGAGAGAGGGCAGTGGGATTTGTGGTTTTAAGTGCTGAAGTCACTGTCTACACCATGGAAGCGGGAGCTGGACGAGGAAGGACCTGCAAAGTAGAACTTCCTGATTCGTGCGGCTAGCACACGTTTTCCTTGTTGTTGCTTTTTTGTCACTTCTTATTCTTTGTGGCAGTCTTACCTGAAGATCTTCAGCCTTAACGAGGCTGTGCTTTAGAGAGGCTATTTACTTTTCCTCTTGGGCTGCAGGGTTTGTTCCAAGACGCCTGGCTTCTTTGAGGCAGGAGTGGCACAACTCAGCTGGAGAGCCTGTGGCCAAAGTAGATTTTAAGGAAGGGATTAGGCCATAATGGTTTGTTGAACTTCCCCTCCCTTTTTGGAAGGTCTCCTTCCAGTGGCAGACTTGAAGGTGCCAGACTGTATTTTATTAAACAAGGGAGCCTGTCCTTACAGATCTTTCTCTGCAGACACATTTGAAATACCTATACTCTAGTTTAAGAGTCTCTAATTTGGGTCGGAAGAAGAGTAGAGATCTGAATCTCAGGTAGATGGAACATAAAATGGGCTCATTTTATACAGACTATCTTGGAACTTCCCCTCTGTTAAATATAGTTTTAAAAATATGACTTGGTACTCACAGAGGTATAGGGTAAATAGGTAAAAGGTAAAGGGGCATTAACTCTAACTTACTCTTTTTTTCTTTCTTTTTTTTTTTTTTAAAGATTTTATTTGACAGAGAGCAACACTGAGAGAGGGAACACAAGCAGGGGGAGTGGGAGAGGGAGAAGCAGGCTTCCCGCCGAGCAGGGAGCCCGATGTGGGGCTTGATCCCTGGACCCTGGGATCATGACCTGAGACGAAGGCAGATGCTTAACGACTGAGCCACCCAGGCTCCCCAACTCTAACTTACTCTTAAAGAGTTCAGTGTAGATGGGTGGGGGAGAAAAATAAAAAACAAATGTGGTAGAATGCCGACATTTGGGGAATCTGGGTGAAGGGTTTGTGGGAATTTTTTTCTATTTTCGTAATTTTTCTGTAAGTATAAAATTATTTCTAAAGAAAAAGTTGAAAATATTTTGAGTATCTTTCCATGGAAGCCCATACATTTACATTATTATTTTAATTTTCTGTAGCATACTGCTGTGTGGATGTACTGTGAAGGTGTTTAGCCAGACTCCTATTTTTGGGCATTTGATTATTTCCAGTTATTTACCATTATAAACAGTGCTGTTTGGAGGTCTTTAAATATGATAATATCCTCATGTATTTGGAATGGAATCCCTGCACTCTGTTGAAATATTCCCACTCTCATAGTGGACCTAATAAGAAAATTCACAGTAAATTAAACAAATTAATGCTTGAACCTAAGACCTTATTTACAATTTTAAATGGGTTAAATGTTGACTAGTTAGCAATATTTATCTTACCCAGATATTAATACTGAGCTATAGAAAAATTTCTTCAGTTCTGCTTCATCTCATGTAACAAAGCTTTAGAAAAAAAGAATCTTTTAGTGACATGAAGCATCTTGGCTAAGTGTTGACTCCTTGAATAATTACGAAGATTGGAAAGTCTTTTAGCGTCCTAAAGTCGTAGCTTTCTCATCTCATTCTGTTGGAAGCGGTGGGCAAATCTTTTTCTCTCTCATTCCAACATGCTTCACTATTTCATTGATTCCCAAACATGTTAATCAGATTCCCATTCTCATTCCAGGAACAGATGGGGGATGAGGGGACTGTTTGACCGGAGTCGGTAGTAATATGCTATATGCTCTGTTGTATTGATTCACCTTCAGCTTATAATTGTTATTTTTCCTGATGATGCATGTGAAAAATTGAAACCATAGAATATTCTTACATTTTATCCTCAGGTCAAAACAGCATTCAGTTCTGTTTCTGACATTTGTACTAAAATGTTTGGTTATTAGGGTTTGGTCCAGTTTTTAGGCATCTCTTAGTGGTTTTGAAAAACAAAAAGCAGGTAAGGAAATGTAGTTAGTGACATGCAGAATGCCTAAAGGCAGATCTGATAGGATGCAGGTAAAAGTGATAACCCTTGATTCTTTGGTTCTACCTTCTAACTTCCTCAAAAATAGGAAACTGCAGAAATTTCAACAAAATTGTTTCCGTGAAATTTACATGTTTTAAAACCAGACCCAGGCAGGTTAAATTACATTTGAACATTGACCTGTCCATTTGATTTGATTCCACGACAGTGTGAATGTTGTGTGCTCTTTTCTTTCCTTTTCCTTCATCCTTAAACTGAAATGGTGGGTTAATGAATCCTAGATCAGGAATTGGCAACCAGTGCTGTATTAAATTACACTCAGATTAGAAATGAGAGCCAGGAAAAGAACCCTTTCATGTCCTCTCCAGCTGTGAGGCAGGTATTGGACCTGCGGGACTGGGAAGACCAGAGCGTTAGGCACACAGCAGTGGCAGTAACAGGACGGATGCGTGTTGTACAGAACTTGCCCAGGGCACTTGGCTCTGAATTGACACAGAGCAAAAAGTTGCTTTTCCGGTGAAAATCATGAGGTCATGGGATTTGTTTCATGTCTCCAGTTAAGGAAAAGTGGTTTTTTTTTTTTTTTTTTAACTTCTCCATTTTCTTTGCACTTAAAAATATGAAGACTGTAAAATGGCATTTCCTAGACACTGTGGTAGTTATACTAGCGGTAACAGCCGTCGTTTGTTTAGCTGGGAATCGGGAAGAGGTATAAACAGTAGATCTTTCATCCAAGACACGAGGAAATCTCCCGTGTATGTTCGTGTGTACATGTGCATGTATATACATGTGCTTACATACTGTGAAAATGCTCACTTGACGGAGGGGTAGAGACATTAGAGTGAATGTCATGACTTTAAAGACAGTCTTTGGCTGGCTAGATTATTACCCCCAAAATCTAATCTGTCCTTGATTCGATGTTAGCCTCTTTACTGTGGGCTCACTGAGGTGTCCAGATGATTTCCATCTCTGTGTTCATTTTCCTTGGCTGGCTGGATAGATGTTGCTATGAAGCCGCAAGCTGTGACCCCGGTTTTCTCTCTTTCTGCCTCCACTTTCGTTATGTCTGTTAATCCCCTAGATTCACTCATTTACTGATTTTCTTTAAGATACACATTTTCCTTTGGAAACTTTGACCCGAGGGTCCAAATTGTCCTCCTGTTGTCTCCAGCAGAACCCTTTCCCCACCCATTAAGTCAGGTTGGTCTCTTGCCTTGTTTTCTCCAGAATGTGAAGCTCCTACTACTTAACCAGTAAGAGGTGGCCCCGAGGTGATTGCCCTTGCAAGAGGGTTGCTGTGTGAATCCCAGCATCCCCTAATAACCATCGCTCGAGTTGTTTGCTTGTGCTAAGCTTTTCCTTCTTGTTTTTCACTTTCAGCAGACCTACTCCAATGAAGTTCATTGTGTTGAAGAGATTCTGAAGGTGAGTTCATTTACTGTTTCTCCGTTTGAAGAAATATTGAAGGAGGTAGATGGATATCTATTTACTTTGACTTTAAAGAACGGTTGCCATTCCAAACCCCTTCAAGCCGTTCCCCTCCTCACACCTTCCAATGCAAAATAAACCAGAACAGTAACAGAGGGACTCTTAAGAGCCTGACTGAGCTCTCTGACAGATTCTATTAATTAAAATGAAGTCTAGGGCGCCTGGGTGGCTCAGATGGTTAAGCGTCTGCCTTCAGCTCAGGTCATGATCTCAGGGTCCTGGGATCGAGTCCCGCATCGGGCTTCCTGCTCCTTGGGAGCCTGCTTCTCCCTCTGCCTCTCTCTCTCTGTCTCTGTCTCTCATGAATAAATAAATAAAATCTTAAAAAAAATAAAAATAAATAAATAAATAAATAAAATGAAGTCTACAAGCTGCAAGGCATTTGGACCAGAGTTTTAAGACCTCTCTCAGGTTTTTCTGATTGTTGTTCATAAAGACCCACGAGGGTTGTTCACTTCTCAGAAAGGAAAGTCCTTTGTATTTAAGGGGTTAAACAGTGCTTGATTTATACTCTTAGTGTTTCGTAGGTGACACCTGATATGTATGGCCTCATCTTCAGTGAGGTCATGAATTTTTAAAGGAATAAAAAAACAAAGCAGTAGAAAGTAAGTGGACATCTATAAACCTACCTTGGAGGGTTATTTTTCACTCTAGTTTCTTGAGATGGTGCCATGAACATTTGTGCTGCTTCTACAGATCCATCATTGAACCCATTATCTGTGGGTTCAAGGTTTTTTTGCGCAAGGACAACAAATCCCTCCTAGAATTCAGCTCCAGGAAAAAAGAATAAATTCTCCTCATGAGCCAGCATGCTTTCTTTTTATCAGAGAAGAATTATATAAGCTGTTTAATTTCCCATTTTGGCTTTAATTTCCAGGAAATCTAGAGCTAAATTTAATGCCCGAGTACTGTAATTGTGATAACTAAGGGTTTTATTTGTTTCTCATTCCTTTTCTTTGACTTTTAACTTTCCTCCGTGTGGGATTTAATGATATTCTTGCTTTATCTTTTACTATAAGTTTTCTGATTTTTTTTTTTGAAGTAGAGATATATATGACACATGTACCTATTCATTTGTATCTTCACTGTTCACTTCTCAAAATATATGCTTACCCAATTTTTTCCTTTAATTTTTCATTGTAAAGTAAGGTGGTACTGAAACCAGTAGTTTTTTTTTTTTTTTTTTTTTTTTTTAAGATTTATTTTAGAGGGAGAGACAGAGCAAGTGATCAGGAGGGGGTATGGGTGGGCAGAGGGAGAGGGAGAGAGTGTCGACTCCGCACAGAGCCCAGCGCAGGGCTTGATCTCACGACCCTGAGATCATTACCCGAGCCGAAACTAAGAGCCTTGGACGCTCAACCGATCGTCACCCAGGTGCCCTTGAAACCAGTAATTATATCGGTTACCTTCTCACTTGCAAAATTTTTGGCAAAGGTAGTGTCTAGCCAGATGTTTGGAAAGTAGTCCCATCATTTTTGTTTTCTTTGTCCCCTGCTTTTGTGGTTAGGACCTTCTGAGAAAGAAATATCTGTAAGGAAACATGCTTTGTACTGCTAGAATTGAGCAATTTTTATGAACCAGCTTAATAATAAACAGGTTATCTTGATCAAGCTTTTGTTTCATCCTCTCCTTCTGGTATTTCTGAAATCCTTTGGTGTGATGAGTCATAAAAACAACAAATGACTTAGTTTTAAAATATGGGCTTAGCATTTTCTCTGAAAGTGTATGTGATTTGTTTTATAGTTATTTCAAAAGTAAATGCAGCGATATAGATTAGTTTGTCTTCTGTATATGTCAAATGCTACTCTTAGGTTTTGATGTGGGTTAATATATTACTTGTGGAATCCCTTAATGAGGACGATGGTATTAGAGCACCAGACAAGCAATTTTAATTTAATAAACTCCCTCCCCTCTAAGCCAACATCACTTTCACAGGTTCTTCCTTACCTGGAAATACATGAAAGTGAATGGTTAATGCAAGCAACCGGATGAGTATTTTCATTTGGAAATCGTATAGAAAGCAAACAGAAGGATGTCCTGGACTGGGGAGGGGCACAGGCTTTTGCATAGCGGAGACTTAGAGTCTGTGCCCCCTTTTCTCCTCTGTTTGGAGCTTCAGCTACATCATGTGCCCTGGGCCTCGGTTTCCTCGTTGGTAAAATGAAGGCCCTGGGCTAATAGATGATCTCTAGGGTATGATCTAGCTCCCACTCTCTGGTGCTGATCCAGATACTTTCCTCTGCCTCATGGTTCCTGTTTTTCTCTTGTACCAGCAATTTATGAAGATTGCCAGGAATCCTAACACAAATCTTTCTGATGGGCAATAGAAGCAGTAAATAGTTCCCTAATAGAAAAAATCAATCATAGAAGATACTGTTTGGTTCTGTGGTGGAAATATTAAGAGTGGAAGTGTTTTTAATGAAGGGGAGGTGGTGGCCTATAATTCCTGCAGGCTGATGGGGTAAGGAGATAGCAGATAGATACTACTAGAAACTAGGAATTGGTCGTGCATGAGATCCAGACAGGGCACTGTGCCCTCATGTCCTCACTGGGTGTATGGAAACAGCTCACATTCTCTCCTTACAGTGGGATGGCCCGGACAGCCTCCTGGGGAAGTCAGTGCAGTTCTCGTGGACATGACCTCAGTGTAGCCTCCCAGTAGGGATGCTGTGACCGTGAGTGGCAGCACTAGTATTTGCTCATTCATTTATGCAACAAATACCCACTAAGCCTCAAATACTTTCCTAGGCACTGGGGATTCCATATGAGTAAGACTGAGTTCTTGCTTTAAAGGGGACTACAGGGGACGCCTGGGTGGCTCAGTCGGTTAAGCGGCTGCCTTCGGCCCGGGTCATGATCCCAGGGTCCTAGGATCAAGTCCCACATCGGGCTCCTTGCTCAGTGGGGAGCCTGCTTCTCCCTCTCTCTCCCTCTGCTTGTGCTCTGTCAAATAAATAAAATCTTTAAAAAAATAAAAATAAAAAAAATAAAGGGGACTACAGGAGGAAGAGAATTATACAATAAAAATGTCAGGTACTGCTAAGTACTATGAGTCCGACAGCAGGCAAATGAAGAGGACTAGACAGAGGAAAGAATGCAAAAAACCTTGAGGTGGGAACAGGTTGCTGTATTAGAAGAGCACCAAGAGCTAGGCAGTGTGTCTAGAGCAGAATGAGCAAGGTGGAGAGCAAGGAGCAACATCAGCCCTGGTGCCTAGAAGCCAACAAGCCAAGACTGGGCAGGTGTGATAAGTCATTGTTTAGGTAGGCAGTGAATTCATGGCCTTGAGTGCAATTCTGGGCAGCCTCTTTGCCTTATGGCCCCAGTTCTCCTAAGGCCTAACTCCCTCCAGTAAGCTAGGCATTTAGGGAAGTGTATAAATTCTTTCAGACTGTTGGCAAACAACCTAGGGCTTGAAAGAGTTTATGCACTTTCCAACTGCCTAATTTAATAGCTGGGGCAGCCTTAGGCATTGTGAGTACAATGGACATTTTCTGGGAATAACTGGTGACTAAAAGTCATAGATACCATTGGGATTCTAAAGAAATTCTTGGAAAACAAAAGAGGGGGATACTTTCAAACACCTCAATTAATTGCATTTTTACATTGTAGCGGTATAATGGTCACATTCCTTAAAGGACAGTAAAAGAAATAAAACAGCAAGGAGCTCTCTTTGGTGCAGTATTGAAATTCTTGAAAAACCGGACTTAATTAAAAGTTGTGATGCTTTTAACTTAAGTACTTTCTATGACCATATATCTAAACACTACATAAATTACCCTCATTTCAAATCCTCAGAAAAATAAGTGGTCTTAGTTCACCTCTCACTGAGAACAGCCGTTCAGAGGGCTCAGGCACCTCAGGCTGCCCAGGGCTGGTAAGGATCAGAGTTCAGATTCCAGTCTGGGACTTTGGCTCCAGAGTGGTTACTCTTTCCATCATATTTGAGGACAGATTTCTTCCTTTGTGCTGCACAAAGCAGAGGGTTAGTCAGTGAACAGGGGCATGTCTTCACCTTTAGCAAACATTACTCAAGAAAGCCAGAATCAGGGACTTTGCTCATCACTGTGCCCGGTTATTTCTGTCTGTCCTGGGGTGATAGCAACCCAGAGAGTGGCTATGAGGAAAGGCAAGGGGGAAGGTGCAGAGGTTGGGGATGGAAATACCTGCTAGAGATCCATCTCCAGTTGTTCAAGGATCGGATAGCGTTTCTGTGGTAATGGAGAGGTTGTCCGCACTTGAAAAGAGTACAGTGTTATAATTGTACAAGTGAAGTAATTCGGTGCAGTCTGAGGTCGCCCGCTTGCTGGTAGGGAGTTGCCAGTCCATCTTTAAGCCAGTGTCCCAGGCAAGTCTGACACACCTGGGAATGGACTTCTTGCTCTTAGACTGGAGAAGCAAAGGGGCCCACGCTGTGTGTTCTCAGCCATCAGCCTGATCCAGTCATTCTGGGCCTGTTTTCTCATCTGTAAGAATGAAGGCGTTGAGGGGCGCCTGGGTGGCTCAGATGGTTGAGCGTCTGCCTTTGGCTCAGGTCATGGTCTCAGGGTTCTGGGATTGAGCCCCACATCAGACTCCTTGCTCAGCGGGGAGTCTGCTTCTCCCTCTGCCTGCCGCTCCCCCTGCTTGTGTTCCCTCTCTCTCTTTCTCTTGCTCTCTGACAAATAAAATCTGAAAAAAAAAAAAAAAATGGAGGGGTTGATATGAATGATCTCCAATGCCATTTTAGCTCTTTACCAAAGTGTGTGTGCGTGCGCGCACACACATGCATGTATTTGTGATTAGACACGTTTAATCTGACCTGTTTTCCGCCAGTTTTTTAGCAAAGCAGACTATAAGTCATGAATGTGCTTAGAAAAAAAAAAGAATTCATGGTCAAGATAAATATGTTAATTTGTGAGATAGAGAAATCTTGCCTCCATGAAAATAGTGAATAGAAGTGAAACTTGTATTACTGGAAAGGGAAGGTAATTTTTTAAGGCCCTCCCCGCCCCCCCAAAAAAGTTCGTATGTACTAATAGTGTGTATCAGGGAAGGGTCAAATCCATTAAAACTCTCCCAAGTGGAACAAGTGACCTGAATTACTTGTTTGCTTAAGTCAAACAGGAAAGTTCTTCTTCCTTTGAACTTAAATAATTCCAGGAAATGCAATAAAGAAGCTGAGGGAGAAAGTAAGCATTGAGTTGCGACTCCGTGTTCACAGTTACATAAGCTCTGTTAATATGCTTTATGATCTCCAGTGTGAAGACCGCTCATGTTCTGCATTCTTGTTTTTCCTCTCTGAACTGAATGCTGTTTTGTGAGTGGGAGATCTTCAGCGTTTGAACACAGCCCGTTAAGTAGGCGTCTTTTAAAAAGTAAAATAAATAACTTCTAAGGTTTCACTTTTTATTTACCACCAATCCACTTTACGTTTAGTTTGAAAAGTTAACTTACGTAGCAATAAATGTTCTATTTATAATTTACTTTTTCTTCCCTTTCCATGTCTCTTTCCAGGAAATGACCCATTCATGGCCGCCTCCTTTGACAGCAATACACACGCCTAGTACAGCCGAGCCCTCCAAGTTTCCTTTTCCCACAAAGGTAATTCTTTACAACAGGCCGTGTATCCACACCCGTGCAAAGTCTGAAGTATTGCTATGAGATAGATTAACTTAGCACTAGCTGTTGAAATCTTTGCAGATTCGGTTAAAACTGCCACTAAGCTTCTGAAGTGCTTCATAATGTTTTCAACACTTCACTCTCCAAATTATTTGGGTAAGAACATCTTACCTTTGTATGGGGTTTTGTAGCTTATGAAAGCATTCAGGACTTTTCAGTAAATTCTCTCATTTGAGACTTCTTACTTAGACATGGGAAAACAGAAGTACAGGGAGAGTGAGTGACGTAGGTGTCTGAATCCTCGTTCGGAATTTAGATATATGCATAACACATAAATCTTAGACTTTCTCATACCTACTAATTTTCTTAAAGTTTGCTGTGATCATCTACATTAGTGCTGGTTTTAATAACAAGTGAATCAGTTGCTGACTCGCATATTTCCATTGAAGTATTTGTGAACAGTGTATTTTAAACCCTGCCATTTTCCTTTGCTTATTTGTACTTTGGGATAACCTTCAGAGTATAGAAATAGCACCTTCAGATCTGTGTTCTGTCCAGCTTGGTATGCATGCACACTGTTAATATATTATAGCTATTCCTTTGCATGGTATTGTTTTCAAAAGAGGTTATATCTACCCAGACCAGAATCTGCCATGTTAGATACTTTACATATTTTCTCATGATAGTTTTTTTTAATGTTGTTTGTTATTCCTAGTACAAACATTATACTTTGTAAAAATAAATGAATCTTTGCTCAGTACCAAAGGAAAAATAAATTCTAGGAAAGAATAGAAGAAATAAATAATAAATAGAAGAACTAAAACCCATTTTACATATGTAAAAAATAGATTTATCAGCGTTCATCAGACATAGCAGTGATGCAACCTTAGATTTATAAACCTTAATAATAACTAGAGATTTTTTTTTTTCTTTCTAGGATTCTCAGCACATCAGTTCTGCAACCCAAAACCAAAGTAGGTGGAACTGATTATTGCATTGGAGAACAAAGCATGGTTTTTGTTGTTTTACTATAAAAAAAAAAAAACAATGCAAAATAGCCCAGCACAGATGAGGGCTTCCTATTTTGTTTTTTTGTTTTTGTTTTGTTTTGTTTTTTAAAGATTTTATTTATTTATTTGTCAGAGAGACAGAACACAAGCAGGGGGAGAGGCAGGCAGAGGGAGAAGCAGGCTCCCCGCCGAGCAAGGAGCCCGATGTGGGACTCGATCCCAGGACCCTGGGATCATGACCTGAGCCGAAGGCAGCCGCTTAACCAACTAAGCCACCCAGGGGTCCCGAGGGCTTCCTATTTTGAAAGAATAGGAAGGGAGCACAAACATAAAACTGTGCTTTAGGTGGAATTTCAGATCGTTGCAAAGAGTTAATGAAGATGTCATAGTAAAGTACTTGACAAATATAATGTGTCATAATTATAACAAATATAATTACCTGACGTATGCACACATCTTGAATGTGACTCTCAAAGCATTCTAACCCAGGAATAGTATATAGAATAGATTGGGATATTTTTTGTGGTTCTTGTGTTTTTTTCTAAGAAAAGTAAGAAATTTGTATAAGGAATAGAGTACATAGCTTCTTTAGTTTTTCTTTATGTATTCACCCTGCAATTCTTGTTTGGTCTCTCTTTATGGATTGTAAATAGTTGATAATTCAGAGGGAAACAGAAGTAAGCTAACTGGATCCAGCCATTCTCTTCATCAATAACCCCTTGATTCAATAAAGTTTTTGTGTCTCAACTACATGCAAGGCATTTCAAACCTTATGAAAATGACTAGGGTATTTGCAGTCATTTAATTTATTAATATATGGTGCATGTCCAAGTTATGAAGTGTTAGTCTTCAAAAAAATAGGGCAACCAAAGTAGGATATGTATGTATGTTGGGGGAAGGTTGCACATAGATACTCCATGGAGGTGACTCTTCCTCAAATCTCCCCACCTCATTCTTTTCCCTCACTTATATATTTTTTTCCCTTTATTTTTCTACAGTTTAAATTGCACGGATGTGAGGAGAGTAGAAAAAAGATGAGGAAAGCAAGAAACAGAATATCCTTTCCTCTAGAGCAGGGGTGGACCCACCATAGCCTGAGAGTCCATCTGTTCTGCAGCTGGTTTTTGTAAAGAAGGTTTTATTAGGACACAGCCATGCCCGTTCATTTATTATTATGCCACGAGGTACAGCTTGCAACGCCAGAAATATTGACTCTCTGACCTTTATAGAAAAAGTTTGCCATTCTCTGCTCTAGATACTAAATAAGATCTTGCAAAGGACTCATGACTGAATTTCCCCCATATGCAGAGAATTAAACCTGATCATCCTGCCACAGTATTTGTATAAGTGGCAAGGTAAAATTAACCAAAATTAATGGCTTCTTGGGGCGATTGGGAAATCTTTTTTTCTCAGCATCTTGGCGGTCTCTCCAGAGACAAATAAGCAGTGGAGTGGGACAAGGCTCGGCAGGACGGCCAGCTCAGCTGTGGACAGGCTTGCTCTGTGCCCCTTTACCGCTTGCTCTCCCCTCTCCCCATTTGCTAGGGCTGCCCGCCAGGCAGATCATATGCCTTCCCCTGGGTTCCTCACAGCTTTGATGATTGCTAACTCCTGGTTTAGAAAGACCCTTTTAATCCTTTAAATTGTTTGATTTCCCCTTTTAGCAAAATCTAGCTGAAGATGAGCTGGTAAGCACTTTCTTGGCGGAGAATGGGTGGCCCTCTCAGCCGATGGAGTAGTGTGGGCCAATTTCTCCTTGCTCTTGCTCTGAGGCGTTTTCAGACCCTGGCAGGTCTCCAGTAGGTCTTGGCTCACTAGATGCTTACCCTGGGGTTTTTCATGCTGCCGCCATTCTGTCTGTCCGTGTTCCGGGGAACCTTGTTTACTTTTGTGAGAGTGGGACCTAGTTGAACCCTAGAGAGGTCTAGTTTTATGTTGGGTGAAGAGGGAGTTAGTTATCTTAAGGTTTTGTTTGGAGCCTGCAGAGAATGAAGTATGCCTAAGGGTAATCAGAGCCTTGGGGTGCTTCAGACCCAGTGAAGACCAGTATATGAGAGTCCCTGTGAGTGCCTCGAAGAGTGGCCTTAGCCCCTCCGATTTGTAGTTCTGCCTGTAGCTTTCTAGCCAGAAGGGGAAGCAGTTATAACCGTCATGTAAGAGCTGCTGCCGCCCTGAGGGTAAAGTGATTAATTGCAAGGTCTCCACATGACATTGTTGGGAAATCTCATTCAAGCCTGCCTAAAAGGCGCCCGTATTCCCATTCCACTCCCCGTTCTGTTTCAGGTCCCTATTACCTCACGCCTAAAGCAGCTTCCCAGATGGGTTGTTGCCTCCACCGTTAATATTGCCCGTTCCTTTCTAGGTTCTGCCAGGTGGCACCACTAAATTAATCTTTCTGAGGAATCTCTCTAGCATGTACCTGGTAGAGACCTTTGGTGGTGTCTCATTGCCAAACAAAGTTCTAACTTACCATCCTGGCATTCAGCGCCCTCCCAAATCTGACTTTCACCTGTCTTTCCATCGTGTCCACACATTTTGTACGCTGTCCTTACCCTTTCCAAGTCTGTGCCGTTTTAAATCTTCCCTCTCCTGCCCGAAGGCCTTCCTCCTCCTCCTCCTCTCCCTTTGACCGGCAGTCATTCTGTCAAAACTTCACCCATCTTTTGTGACACAATTCATTTTGCTCCTTGTCTAGCTTGCCTTCTTTAGTCACTACCAAGAGAGAGACCATTCTTTAGTTTCCTGGGACCGTTCATTTAGGTGACCAATTTGCGTGCCCCTCTCACACTGCCCGCCATTGGAGATATTTGTGTGCCCGGCACGCGTCCCTCAGTTACTTGTCAGCTCATCGAGGATAGGGTCGAGTGCCTTGAATATCTTGTATCTGGGAGGCAGTGTGACTACGTGGATGGGGGCAGGTGTTGAATAATGGACGGGTGAGAGGGAGCGCACACTCGACGGAGGTCAGAGGCTGGGAAAAGGGAGTGCTGGTAAATCACTGGTAGATGGGGAAGGGCAGACCAGGTGGGAGTGAGAGCAGCTCTCTCCTAGGGCTTCCATGGGGGTCCCCCACCGCGAGCTGACATCAAGGAAAGTCAGGTCCCCAGCAGGTAGGAAAGTTACCAGTCATGGGGTAGGGTGTGTTGCAAGCAGGGCTTTTCTGTGACTTTTTGCTCTGTTCAGGGTTTTTCGATTCTGAGCAAGTCCTCGATCTAGAGGTAACGTAAGTGCTATTGTATGATGGTGAGAATGTATCACCATTGTGCGGTGCATATAGCAAGCACTATGATTGACCGAGTTGAAGTAGACTAAGTGTTCAGGTGGAAAAAGCAAGGACGGGGGTGAGGGGGACAGCACAGAAAGGGGGGGATTTATAAGGAATAAACTCAGGAATGTATCTCATTGTGCTGCTCTGATCATTTTCCTTTCCCCACAGAACAATATGATACATCTTCAAAAACCCACACTAATTCTCAGCAGGGAACATCGTAAGTAATATGCTTTTGTTTATTAAAAGTTTATAACGTAACATGGTGATTTCCCATGTAAATCCATTGCTTAGATTTTTTTTTCCCTACCGCTTTCAAGTAATGACTTTCATAACCTACCACTGCATTGTAAAAGGAAGTAATGCCCTACATTTATACTTGGATTAAGTTCTTCTGTTGAAGGTTCAGGCACCACAAGAGAGTTTGCTAAGGCGTCTTCTCAAAAGAAAGGCATGTGAGCCATTCTTTACATATTAACTGTGGAAAATAGAAGGTCTTAGCGTTGTAAATTTCAGTCCTAAATAGCTTTTGCTTTGGAAAACAAATTTTAGGGGATGTGTACAATTTAAGATTTTTTGGCCACTTTTTTGGCCTAGTTTTAACTAATAAAGAATGAGTCCTGTTGCCCAGCTGTTCTTTATTAAGGCCGAGTAAGTCCAGATACATTTGGGGTTTTTAGAACGGTTTAAAGTACATAATAAAGATTTTCAAATCAGCAATTGGACCCACTTGGTCATTTCTTGATGGTATTGAAGTAATACTTGTTTTCCTCCAACTGCAAAGGGTTTTTGGGAACGAGGTGATGCTCCTTCAGTATCTAATCAGTCACTGACGGGGGAGGGGGAGGCGCTAGCCTCCCCGAATTTTGGGTTTAAGCTCCAGCTTTGCTCTGGGTACAGTGTTTGTTCCATGCATCTTGGAAGGGGTCATTGCTGTGGGTTGAGTATTTTGAGAAGCTGTGTAGTCGAGGCAAAGAGGTTATTTTATCTTTTCACCGTGACTGAATGTGGGACTAAGTTAAATCACGGCTCCCAAGTGCCAGCTCCTTTCTCCATCGCAAAACAAGAAAAAAAGAACAATATGGCAAGATATTTTTAAAGATTAATTTCTTACAGTTCAAAGGGTGGAGTTTTTTGTGCATGTAATAAAAGTTATTTCATTTGTGGTACTGGCAGATGGTGAGATTTTTGCTTGTTTTTATTGTCCTTTACCAGAAAAAAAAATTTTTTTTTAACCTTATGTGCCTTTTCTTTCCCTTCCCCACCCCCCTTTCTTTCTTCCTTCCTTTTTAAATTTTACTGGCTCCTGAATTTTGGAAGTCTGGAATCGATGGCTGGTAGAGAACAGAAACTGTAGTTCAAGGGACTGCAATTGTAACGATTCTGTGGAAGCTCTAACTTCCCCCAAGGTTTTACACCTTGTGCTCTTTGTAAGGATTGGTAGTAAAGCCCTTTAGACCGTAAAAGGCCCCTGTCTGTGTTTTTGGGGGCAGCGAGGAAGGGGGAATTGAAGAGGAAGGGAAGCCGCTGTGTCCTTGGGCCTGTGGGGAGAGGAGGAAAGGCCACTGGATGTGAGTGAGGCCCAAGAAGCAGCTTCACACCGAGCAGGCCAAAGTCACACCCTCTCACACCACCCACTTCCATCAGCTTTCAGGCTCGGGTAGTTGGTAGGGACTCAGACCATTTTCTGTGCTGGGTTTGCTCCTCAGAGAGATGGGCCGTCCTCCTGCTGAGTTGAAGCCCAGAAATCAGAGGTGCCTACAAGTATGTGACAGGCATATGACATAGGTAGTGCTCTCTTTACAAAACTGTTCATTTGCCATATATAAAATCGCCTAGAAAAGAGTATTTATGATGATCCTGGTAGACTGAAGGAGGGGAGGAAGACAGCGCCCCTTCGAAGGAGGCGAAGAGGAAAGGGAAGCGTGCCAGAGGAAGAGAGAATGAGGGGGGTACGGTGGTGGTCGGATGGGCAGGGCTGGTGGGATCGATAAGAGCCAGAAAGGTACCTCTGGGAAAAGGAATCACGTCCGTGTCCCGATTAATTTGTGCACTGCAGTCATGGTTTCAGACTCCGTAGGTCACATCTGTTGGTGCTCACAGGTTAATTTGATCTAGCGTCAGCGTGTAGGCTCTATGACATGCACTGAAACTATTTGAGCGGCAGAGTGCCAGAGAGATGGTCTAACGCACTTTGAATGTCAGAGAAAAAAACGTTCATTTCGGGATCATGTGTACTGTGGTTTTAAAACTCAGTCTAGGTCTTAATGCTTTTTCTTTCAGTTGCTAGTACTTGGGAATCCTCACATACGATATTATTCTCTGGACTTGGTTCCAGGTGACTTGGAGATCTTTCCAAAAATTGCTTCCATTCTTCCATTCAGGGCATAATTAGTGAACACATGCTGTGTGCTTGGTGCTGCTTTAGGGACTTGGAAACGGTGGCCGCTGAGACAAAAAATTCTTGTCTTTTTGTCTTGTAACTTAATGCAGCTGTCATGTCATACAAACTCTAGGTTCTGTGTTGGCGACAGGCTCAGGGAGCAGTTCTTTTGGGTGGCGGTGATATTTTTGGGAGGGAGGTCAGGAAAGGTCTCTCAGAGGAGGTGACGTTTGATCTGGAGCCTGAATGATGGGAGAGCGAGGCAGAGAATTTCTGCCACGTCTAAAGGGGCTTGCTAGATTTTGCGGCAGGCTCTGAAGCCATCTGAAAACATCTGGGGGTAGTAATTCTTACTGGCAGTGACAACTTTGAAGTAGTTCCTTTGCCTATGCAAAGCATGGTTTTGAAGGAGCCTGTGGAGGTCCATTTAAGTCTCACATTTGATCATAACTGCTAATTTCCTGCAGTAAGTGACCATAGACTAATTTAAACATTGCCTGAAAGATTGAATAAGATATGTTTTAATGCACTAAGAATCTGTTAGCCCTGAAGGCAGTTTATGCCTTCCACCCACCTTGGGATGCTGGGCTATTAAATCAACAAGATGTGGTCTACTTCCACAAGAATGTGTATTCTGTCTCACCCTGCAGGGGCCTCCAAAGCCTGCCAGTAACTTACCTGTCTACCCCCCTTACGATCCCTTTCCCCCCATATTCTGGTATATTTTCCATTGTGGCCATGTTGGCCCCCTTGCTGTTTTCTTTCTTCTTTCTTTCTTCTTTCTTTTCTTTTCTTTTCTTTTCTTTCTTTCTTTCTTTTCTTCTTTCTTTTCTTCTTTCTTTTCTTCTTTCTTTCCTTTCTTTCTTTGATTTTATTTGAGAGAGAGAACACAAGCTGGGGGAGGGGTGCAGAGGAAGAGGGAGAAGCAGGCTCCCCACTGAGGGAGCCTGATGTGAGGCTCAATCCCAAGACCCTGGGATCATGACCTGAGCTGAAGGCAGATGCTTAACCTACTGAGCCACCCAGGCGCCCCCTCTTTGCTGTTTTGGGTGCCCAGATCACTCTACCCCCTGTTCCTGCAGTGTATGCAATCTCCTTACCAGCGCAGACTTCCCTAACTACCCCATGTAGAAAAGCAACCCACGCCCATCTTTACTCTTTTATTCCCCTCCGTAGGCTTTTTACCCATTGAAAAAAATATATATTTTAGTTGTTTATTTCCCTCTTCATAAGGGAAAAGTATATATTTTAGTTGTTTATCTCCTAGACTGTCAGTGCTACAAAGCAGGGATTTTGTCTGCTTAGAGTTGTATCCACTGAATCTAGAGCAGGGCCTGGCATGTAGTAAGTACTAAGAGTAAATGTGGAAAGAAAACTTACATAGAAACTTGATTAAATATGTGTATAAACAATACTTAATACATGGGATTTAAGGCAATAACTTTTCTAGGTTTTTCCTGGTTGTCCAGTATGTCATTCTTGCACTAATATCTTAGTTGTCATACTTATTTTTTTAAGTAATCTCTCCGCCTGGCATGGGGCCTGAACTCACAACCCCAAGATCAAGAGTCACATGCTCTACCAACTGAGCCAGCCAGGCATCCCTGTTATACTTACTGATTTAATCTTATTTATTAACTTCAGATTTCCCCTCGTTTATAGTCTTGTAATTTTTCTCATGTCCTTCCATGACCTCAGATAATCTTCACTTCATCCATGGATTTTAAATAGTCTTTTATACCTCTGGCAGTTTTTAACCTTGATTACTCTGTGTACTGTCACTTTCCGCTCTGTCTTGTTTGTCCGTAATCTCCCATAGACCGTCCCTCCCTGAATTTGAATAATGCCAGCCACTGTCACCATTTGGAGAGTCGCCCCTATATGCAGTGTCACAACTGCTTGAGATTTGTTGTTTTCAGTTTTTCATTTATTATATGTGGAGCCTTCTTCATAATTTGTCGCCTTCCCTCATCTCCTGCAAAGCATTTGCAGTCCGTATTTCCGCCCTTGATCAAAAAAAGGAATCACAGCCTGATTGAATTTTAGATTTGGGGACTTACATATGTCTGCTTTGGAGCCCAGCCTCTTTCTCTTTCTCTGCCCTCCGTTGCCCATTCTATCCCCAAATCAGTTTTCAGTTTGTGAGATTGTTCAAGTTCACCAATTCTCACATGTTCATTAGCGGTTTCTGAAAAGTATTACGTGCCATCTTACGCACACCTAATACCAGGGTTGTGACTTACTAATTACCGTGAGCTTGCCTTCACTTGCTCTTTCCCAAATAAAATGTACGGCCCAATTGTAGGAAATGTTGAGCCAAAAAATCAGCTTATTTAAGTAGTTTTGGGATTTGAATTGAGATGTTACAGACTATTGGCAGTGAAGTTGTTGGCAAGCCCAGGACTGGGGAATGGAAAAGGAATAAAGGCTTGTCTTGTGTGTCTTCACACAGTAACATTCGGGCTCTGAGTCACTGAAGCCTGCCTGCTGGAACATGTACATGGCTCTCTAAGCGTTGCAGAGCAGTTGGCCTGAAGAATGCATTTGTACAAAGGGGCTTGAGGATAGTTGGTAACCTCTAAATAAAAACTCTACCTCACCGGTAATGTAAAATGTGGTTAAACCTACGTGTTAGTTCAAAGAGTGGCTCTACCTGAGTATTTGGCTTCTTTTGACCAGGGCCAAGGTAGGCCATATGGTGGCATATGCTTTGAAATAGCTGCTTTGTCTTGGCGTTTGGAAGTGAAATTAGTCATTTAACCAATTTTAAAAGTATATGAGGTTTATAGTTCATTTATTTTCGTAAGGGAAAAAGAGCGTATCCATTTTATTCCAGCAGGGTGATTACTGTTTTCTTTAATCGAAGTCTTTCTCTCCGGGGATTCTGGAGAATCCCTCCTATCATGTAGGTTTTCTAGCCATTGCGCCCTCTATTGGCCGGAACAAGGCAATCGTATGAGACGGAATGGCTTTTGCATTCCAGATCCAGCATGTACCAGCTTCATGATGTGGGCAGGGTCGGTGGCTGTTCTGAGCCCGTTTCCTCACCCTCAGAATGTGAGGGCATGATCAGAGGCGGCCATACGGTTGTGAGTAAAGGCAGTGTTTGCAGAGTTCTGAGCACACAGGGGGCGCAGCTACGCGGTACCGTTACCTATGCAGCAAACAGGGTGCTGCTACTCATTCAGCCAGCCTTTTAGGGTTACCTGCCAAGTTCTGGATATAGAAGATACGAAGGTGAAAATGACTCGGTCCTGCCCCAGAAAAGCTTATAGTTGAGTATGTCCCTTGATGCTCTCTTGACCTAGATCTTACTGGTATGAATGAGCCTGGGTCTAAGAGGTTTGATTCCCTTCTGGTGGGTGCTGAGGTGGTCACCCAGATGTGCTGTAATTCGTTTTTGCCATTTTTCACATTATGGACCAATTCTCCCACATGTACCATGTGAAGTGTGCTAGAGTAATGTGCTTGGGCTCAGACCTAACTGTTTGTGGGACAAGTCGGGGATTTTAGCAGCTGCTTCCTTTAAATTTTTTCCTTTATCTCTAAAGATAAAACCTTTACCGGTTATCAGGTTAGATTCCCCCCAACTATATGGATTTATTTATTTATTTATAAAGATTTTATTCATTCATTTGATACAGACAGAGAGCACAAGCAGGGGGTGCTGCAGGCAGAGGGAGAGGGAGAATATGGGGCTCGATCCCAAGACTCTGGGATCATGACCCAAGCCGAAGGCAGATGCGCAACCATCTGAGCCACTCTAGCGCCCCTCTTTTTTTTTTTTTTAATTACAATGATATTCATGATTAATTTTCTGTATTAGTAAAACTTAGATACGGTTTTTAAGTAACTTTTTTTCTTACTACAGATTCAGGACAGGTTTGTCATAAAGAATTTTAGAAGTATCTTTCTTAGCCCCACTAATAGTATGCTGGTTTATGTTGAGCTACCCATCTGGTGATATAATAAACTCTGGTTTCTGGAAGATTCCATGTTACTCTTAGGGGTGGCAGACACTGACAGTACACTTCGTTAATTTTTGCATCAGGGTGCCTGGCTGGCTCAGTTGATAGAGCATGCGACTCTTGATCTTGGGATCATGAGTTCAAGCCCCACATTGGGCCTGTTAGAACTTATTCTTTAAAAAAACAAAAACAAAACCAACAAACTAATTTTTTTATCAAATAAATTGAACCATGAATTTTGATTAAATGAAATACCATCTGTAAATAACCAGTATATCCTACATAGTGGTAGATTTTGTTTGACCCTATTGGTTTATCATTGCTTTTTGAGTGTTTCTTTGGCGATATCTGGAGCACTCTTCTTTCAGAGGTCACTATCCCTCATCTCTTTATTTATTTTTATTTATTTTTTTTTTTTAAAAAGCTTTTTATTTATTTATTTATTTGACAGAGACAGAGAGAGCAGGAACACAAGCAGGGGGAGTGGGAGAGGGAGAAGCAGGCTTCCCGCTGAGCCGGGAGCCCGATGTGGGACTCGATCCCAGGACCCTGGGATCATGACCTGAGCCGAAGGCAGTCGCTTAACCAACTGAGCCACCCAGGCGCCCTCCCTCATCTCTTTAGGTATCATACCTGCAGGCTTTTATTGTTATTGTCTATGTAAGGCTCTGAAGGGGAAATTCTTGGAATCTGGGACAGCATTTTTACAGTGCCTTTTATTCCTTAAGAGCAAGTAGAGCTAAAAGTCAGAACATAACGCTTTCTGACTTACTTCAGGAGAATATATTTGTGGAAGCAAGGCAGACAGCTTACAGATTATTTAGTGCCCTGCTTACATCAGGAAATGTGATGGGTTACCTGATCATTGATGTTTCAGGAAATTAAAGCAAATCAGTTTTATACAAAAGCCAGTGACTAAGAAACAAAGAGGTCCACTTACTGTGGTTTTGCTGTCGGTTTTTTGGTTTTTTTGTGGGTTTTTTTTCCTGGTTGTGTTATACCTTACATTTATTCAAAGATACATCTTTTATCTTTTCCTTGGGTATGCCCCAGCCAAGCCAGGACTTGGCAGTAACACTGTTGAGTGACTTTTTCTTGTATACCATTATGATATCTACTGCCAAGTCCTGCATCTGAAGGCTGTGTTTTCTAGCCTTGCTAAAATAAGAAGGTAGCTCTCATTAGGTAAATATCGAGCAGCATCTACATTTACAAGTAGCTAACAGTTTTCATATTTTTTAGAAACTTACCATAGGATAGTTTTAGTACCATTTGTTGGTGAAAATAGTTCCTTGGCAGAATTACAACATTGCAATAAGTGGTCATTATGAAAGAGCCAAATTTTATCATTTATTTTCATTAGAAAATACAATGATTTTACCAAGGTTTCCCAAAATAATCATGCTTGCTTATTTCAGCGGCAGGTTAGTGGGTTTGCAGTAAAAATCAATGGTCAGATTATTTGTTGAAGAGGTGTTTTTAGAAATACTAAAGTATTACTGTTTTTTAAAGATTTATTTATTTATTTGACAGAAGAGAGACACAGCAAGAGAGGGAACACAAGCGAGGAGTGGGAGAGGAGGAAGCAGGCTTCCCGTCTAGCAGGGAGCCCGATGCGGGGCTCGATCCCAGGACCCTGGGATCATGACCTGAGCCGAAGGCAGACACTTAATGACTGAGCCACCCAGGCGCCCCAGAAATGCTAAAGTATTATAACCTCCAATATAATTTTTGCTTTTTGGAGCATTAATAATACTTAAGCAGATTGGTTTTGTTTTCACTTGCACTAATAACATTTCCTCAAATAGTCCTCATAAATTTGGGGGGAAGTGGGAACAAGCAGTTAACGACTAATTCATTCTTTTGATACGTAGGCATCCCCCTGGAAGATGGTAAGAGAGGGAGGAGATAGGGAAGGGCTAAGATTTCAGTTAACATGTACAGATTGGAAAATGGCCTTTTTAAAAATTGAAGTATCTTATTTGCTTTTAATATTTAGGTTGCTCATAAACCAGAATGCCTAGAGAGAAGTATTATGATAACTTTGAGGAACTGAACTGAGGTTTTATTTTCACCAGAATGATAGCAGTAAGGTTAAACATATTTTCTAGACAACAAGATTATTTGTATTACTACTCTTTCAACTGATTAGTTTTTAAGCAGACTTCGTGTATGAGAATTTGTATGTCCGGGGCTGGCGGGGGGAGCGGTGAAAAGTAAAGTACCATATTGATAATGTCCTTTGGACAAAAATGGAAGATACCTGCACGGTTTGGTGACCGTGGCCTCAATAGCTTCCTATATCTTACTGTGTATTGAGTTCACATAGAGTACTTTTTAAGTGCCCTGACACACTTCCCAATACTTCACAAATATTCACTTATCCAGGGTTAGCTTATTAACAGTTAATCACTTATTCTAGTTGGAGACTATAGGAGAAAGTAGGGTGTTTTTCTCTTTGTGCATATGTTTTTCTCTTTGTTGTTGTTATTGTTTGTTTTGTTTGTATGGACCTGGGAACTTGAGTCTTCGGGGCTGGCCACAAATCCCTGTCCCGTGGTAGTTCTGCTTTTTAATGCTCAAAATGTGTGGAAGAGTCCATCTTGAGATGGTAAGGATCATATACTAAACAGTTTCTGTGTTATGTTAATAGTAAACCTTACATTTCTAGGAAAATGAAGCATTTGATGAATAAATAAAAATTAGACCTATCCCATCCCTCTTTTTTAATCATTAAGCATATTTTCAATTTATATGCTAAAATAAGTTATTAGAAATTATTTTAAATCCTACAATGTCTCTGTCCCTGCTCATTTCAGCATGCTTGAAGATGACCTTCAGCTCAGTGACAGTGAGGACAGTGACAACGAACAAGTAAGTTTCGTACACCCCATCATACCAGGAATCCTTTTAAATCTAGTATTTCTGAGCTGCATATCCTAACCTGTTGTTTGTTCTTTTCCTGGTCCTCCTTCCCCTTATTGTGAATACCTAGAGCCCAGAGAAGCCTCCTCCTGTATCTGCACCTCCAAGGTATCGTGTGCGTGTGTGAGCAAAATGTTTGCGTTTTTCTACCAAATGGGGAACATACAGCCTTATTTAGTGCTTTCATAGCTTCTTCATGGGGAAGGACATAAAGGATCACAGTTAGAAGAAAGTACCTGTTTAATTTTTTGGAAGCTTAAATCAGCCTTAGAGAGCTTGTTAACTCTATAAAAGAGAAAGTCCCTGTACCCACCTAAATCATCAGTTTGGATGTTTAAAATTTCTGAGAGTTCATAGGGTGCCTGGGGGGCTCAGTTGAGCATCTGCCTTCGGCTCAGGTCATGATTTCAGGGTCCAGGGATCGAGCCCCAAGTTGGGCTCCCTGTTCAGCAGGGAGTCTGCTTCTCCCTCTGCCCCTCCCCTCCCTTGTGCTCATTCTTTCTCACTCTCTCAAGTAAATAAATAAAATCTTTAAAAATAAATAAAATTTTGGGGGCACCTGGGTGGCTCTGTCAGTTAGTGTCTGCCTTTGGCTCAGGTCATGATCTTAGGGTCCTGGGACAGAGCCCCACATCAGGCTCACTGCTCAGCGGGGAGTCTGCTTCTCCTCTCCCTCTGCTACTCCCCCTGCTTGTGCTTTCTCTCTCTGTCTCTCTGTCAAGTAAATAAATAAAATCTTTAATAATTTTTTGAGAGTTTAAAAATAAGCTTAAGGGGCGCCTGGGTGGCTCAGTTGGTTAAGTGACTGCCTTCAGCTCAGGTCATGATCCTGGAGTCCCAGGATTGAGTCCCGCATCGGGCTCCCGGCTCGGCAGGGAGTCTGCTTCTCCCTCTGACCCTCCCCCCTCTCCTGCTCTCTCTCTCTCATTCTCTTTCTCAAATAAATAAATAAAATCTTAAAAAAAAAAAAAAAGCTTAAATCACTTTCATCAGTATTATATAACCAATATTTTAAAAGTTATGCTGAAAAGCCCAATGTTTTTGTGAAAGTTTTTATGGGAAATTTATTTGCTGTTTTCAAAAATTGTAAAGCTGAATCATTTCTGTAAATTGTTTTCCATAGTTCCTGTTTTCTCAGTCATGAATTTCTAATTGTTTAGCTGCTTTCATTTTATTTCATTTTGTAAATAAGTAAATAGATTTTAAATAGATTTTTAGTAATCTCTGTACCCAACATGGGACTTGAACCCACAACCCTGAGGTCAGGAGTTGCATGCCCTACTGATGGAGCGCAGCTAGGCGCCCCTCAGCTGCTTTTAAAAATGAGCTAGAGTGCATTTTTGTGTGATGAAAAATGGCGCTCTTTTCACTTTGCAAACTGCTGCCATATTTCAGAAAATTAGATGCTTTAATTTTTGGAAGTGGGAGTTGTCTCTAAACTACCTTTATAATATTTTCCTCTGGTACTGAATTTAATGATTTAATACACCGATACCTGCCTTCCGGGGACAAAGAGTTAAACTCTGTGGTAGTGGTTGTACTCCTTGACATGTGCTCATCCATTGAGACCAGCGCAGCAAGAAACTCTTCCTGCCTAACAGGTGATGTTATAGTTCATGTGGAGGAAGATCATGTATTCATAAGCTCTGCTCACTTATTTATATTCTGTTCTGTTCAGTAATTCCTGGTGGCTTGTAATGTCCCATAAATTATGACGAAATAGCCTAACTTAAAAGTGGAGGAAAAGAAAAAAGGAAAAGTGGGCATAAATTAGAAGCAGCAATAACATTGAAAGTGCATCTCATTCATCGCTGACTTAAGCTACCAATGTGAAAGTGATCACAAATTTGATGTAGCATTTTTATATGAGGAAATTACATCATAGCATAGTGTGTGTGTTTTAAAATTACTTCAACTAGTGACTTTTTATCTAATATTTTTTTGTTCTGCTTATTTTAATAAACAGTATTATTTAATAAGTTATTTAGTATCTTAGGTAGATGTGGATGCTTTCAAAAGATTACAGTTATTGATTTACTGCTCCGGCTGATTCCATCTGGGGCAGGCTTTTAACACAGGTTGTGAAATTCTGTATGTGCCCAGAAGTACGTCTCACTGACCTAGAGTTATTGCCCTATTCTTTTTTTTTTTTAAGATTTTATTTATTCATTTGAGAGAGAGAGACAGAGACAGAGCACAAGCAGGGGGAGAGGCAAAGGGAGAGGGAGAAGCAGGCTCTGCCCTGAGCAGGGAGCCGGACATGGGGCTTGATCGCAGGACCTGGGCATCATGACCTGAGCCAAAGGCAGACACTTCACCATCTGAGCCACCCAGGCGCCCTGATTGCCCTATTCTTAAAACTTGGAGTAGTTAGTCTCTACTTTGGCTGGTATTTGGGGGTGATCCTAAGCCTCTCATAAGGAAAGGCCTCTTTTATAATTCTGCCCAAGAGTGTGACTGGATTATCTTTGAGGTCACTTTCTAGAGGAGCACCATTTATATTCAAAATATTATATTTAGTAATTCTCTGGCTACCATTTGGTTAGTTTTCATACAGAGAATAGAGGGAAATTTTAATGTATTGGCTTTCCTTTTATAAATTAACTTCTTTGGGCTAATGTATATCCATTTAAAGTAAACTTAAAGGGTCAGAAAGTAAATATTTTAGGCTTTGTGGGCCATCTAGCCTGTCTCGAAACTTTTCAACTCTACTTCCATAGTATAAAAGCAGACATAGATAATACATAAAATAATGGGTGTGGACATGTTCCAGTAAAACTTTATTTAGAAAAATAGGCACCACTGTTGAACGTAAATTTTGTATAGCTCACAGTGTTCTTCAGGAGCAAAATTCCACAGGCTTCTCTTCTATGTAGTTATTTGGTGTGCTATTTTAAGGATTTTTCACTGGTTTTTGAGCCCCTCTGGGCCTTTCTCTCAACTGGATGGTATGGTAATTTAGTAATATTAGGTAATATTGAGGCCCTTTCTTTTGAGTAGCAGAACAGTGGCCAATGGGGGAAATGAGTGGAGAGGGACAACGTCCACCTTGTGAGGTGTCTTCAGATTCTCTCTTGGGGTTACTTCACAGTGCTCCGCAGTCGCTTCCGGAAGCAGCGGCCTCAGCACATTCCAGCAGTGCCGAGTCAGAGAGCACCAGTGACTCAGACAGCTCCTCGGACTCGGAGAGCGAGAGCAGCTCAAGTGACAGCGAAGAGAATGAACCCCTAGAAACTCCAGCTCCTGAGGTACCGTGTCCCCTCCAGGAGGCGGAGAGGCGAGCTAAGATGGCAGCGCTCTGTCTTTTGGGGCTAGAGTCGGCTGTGGGCCAGCGTTGACCCTGGCCCGAGTGGTTCTGTCCCGTGGGGCAGCTCTTTTCCTGCCCCCGGGCTGTGTAGAGCCAGCCATTTCTGTTTACTTCTTACCATACATTCAGCCCCAGAGGTTTCGGTGAGCAGTCTTCTGATAAGTTCTTTGTTGTTTGGAAGAGCAACTCACTAAGAATGTTTGCACACCATTTTCTTTTCCCTTCTGTTGAAAAAGAAAACTCGTTTTTTAGTAGGCTCCTGTTTTAATCTTAATGAAAATTCTTTCTGAAATTTCAGGAATGCATGAATTAAGGAAATCAAAAGGAGACAGCCCAATTTAGCAAAGGGCAGGAATGTGAACTAGAAATAAGTCATCAGAGGTTCTATTTTTGAATCACTAAAAGCCATGCATTAAATTGATGGCGAAGTGGTTTTGCCAGGGTTGTGTTTCTTGCTCCCTTTGTTACATGTAAAACAGGGATAATTGTGTTTGCCTGTCACCCACCCTTGGGACATCGATGTTGTAAAATAAACCGATGAGATGGCAAATCGCAAGCACTAAGTTTATCTGGAGGATTTATGCTATTTTTTACTGGATCGTTGAGCACAAGAAGTTTAATGACAACAGTCAGGGCTGCCAGATGCCCTCAAAACTTGGAGTAGCAATGTAAAAATTAGGCTGGGGAAGACTACTTGGTGAAAAGGGAAGAAAGACATTCTTGGTGAATTAGACCAGCTTATATAGTGAAAATTACTCTGCATGTTTTAGATGGGAATCCTGGGAAATGAGCCTTTCTGATTAAGAAAGCGTTAAAGTTCCCAGTATTTGTCTCTGCCATTTAGCAACCAAGGCAGTTCCACTAGAGCATTAACCGAATGCATCTGGAGGACGTGCAGTGAGCCTTAACAGCCGTGGCCGAGGGCAAGGGAGGCTGGAAAAATAACCGAGTGTCATTTTTTTGTTAGATATGAATTTATGTCTGGCACAGAGTAAGTGCTCAATAAATATTTTCTGGAGTGAATACACATGAATCAGCATTAACTGCACTTAAAATGCCTTTCAGATTTTGGAAACTGCTCTGTGTATTTCTGGGGGCCGTTTCCTTGTGTGATACTAATTACTGTTGAAATCATTTTTCTGTGCCTCAGGAAAAAAGATATTGAATATGCTCTGCAGACAAATTGTGTGATTGTTCCCTGTTTATAAGATCTTTGCTTTATGTCTCACCTTATTCAATTAGAGAAATCTGCATGCTTGTTCGGTTACTAAGATAAAGAGAATCAGATTAAATAATAAAATTCCCTTCAAATAAAATGGAAATGGTACAGATTTGGCTGAATAATTGAAACTTGGAAGAAAAATTTAATCTGGTGTTTGTATTAATGAAACCATTAGATCTTATTGCCCAGAAGGTTACTGGAGTAGATGTAGAGACTCTTAATTGAAAAAGAAATGTTCCCATTCTACTTTATTTTTTTTAAAGCACCTTACCAAATAGGCTCATATTTGTACCTTTGTGTTGATGAGCAAATCTATCTAGACTTGGGCATAGTTTGTATGTCATGTCCTGACACTTGACTTCACCAGAAATATTTTGTCTGGGTCTAGATTTTAAACCTTTAATTTTTCCCACTGTATTTAACTACCTTCTCTCCCTCGATACTTGCCTTATTGTAAATCTCCTGTGTGAGAGTAACATGAATTCCACAATAAGCCACAGTTACTAGTTTTAACCTTTTTTAAATCTATTTTTAGATTTTTTAGAGAATTTTGCTTTTTATGGCTCCATTTTAAGGTCATTTGACAAAGTAGGCCAGTGATCCTAAGAGATCTGAAATGTCCTATGCCTGTCAATGGGTGGGCGGCGAACTTGGGGGAAAGGCTCTTTCAGTGTCTGCTTTATGGTGTGAATCAAAATGTAAATCTCAGCTTTTCAAAATATGTAGGACAAGTCATCTTTTTCCTGCTTCGGTTCAGAAAAAATGCTTTTATTCTCAGTTATCCAAGGATCTCCTTACTTTTCTAATCTATTCATTGTCCTTTTTTTTTTTTCTCCCCCGTAGTAAACTACCTTTGTTGGTTTGCCTCTTAGACACTTGGTACTTTTTCATGAATTATTTGAGTTAGCTCTCTGCCAACCCTGTGAGGTTGGGAGCTGTCTTTTCACCTGTAAAAAGGTAGCAACACCAAGATTCTGGCCCTTGGCCATCTAACTCTGAAGCCTTTTTTCCCTATGACACTATGCCTCTCTCTCACACTTCTCTCCTCTTCCTTTTCCTTTCATTTTAAGACTCCTACTCATAATGATGATGATTTTACTTTAAAAAAAAAAAAAAAGGCATATTTGTGCATAGCTCAGAACTTTTTATTCAATATCACAATTCACCTTAAAATACACGAACTTCTGACAATGTGAGGAGTTATACGTAAAGGGACGTGCAGTCAAACATTTCTGAAAACACCTAATGAAGACCAGTCTGGTATTTTTTCATGCCCAGTGTGCAGTGTTTGGGTTGCACCAGCCCTGGGAGGCTGGCGATGGGGCGCGAAGAAAGGCAGGGCAAGAAAGCAGAGTCCAAAACTTGATCCTACCTAGCACTTAGACTTAAAATTCATTGTGAAATCAATTTGAGTCAATCCCTTATGTTAAAGTTTTCCCCATCCCAACACCCAAATATCTGACCTTAGAAGAATTCTATACATTTTCTGTCTTTATAGCAGGTCTGTAGAAAGGACTCGCCCTACCCTTTCTTCTTGCCTGGGCACATAAACTCAATTTTACCCTGCAATTGGGCCATATGCCTCCCTTCTGGACATTTTTAGGACCACAGTGGAAGAAAATGTGTTTTATTTCTGTAATCAGGACATTCCTTTAGTAGGACATTCCTACTAAATGTATCTTATACTGCCCTGTTTTGGGGTGGGGGGAGAGCAGATGTTATTTATACCAGGAATGACTTTCCTTTTTGGTTCATGAATAAATACTCTTCTATAGAGCATGTCAGTGATTCAAATGGGGCTATAAACTTAGCCCTGTTGAGAGGTCCATACCCGTCCCAAAGAAGAGTTTGAAGGGTTTGGTTCCTAAGGTGAGTGGCAAGTGATATATCCTAATGCCTGGTCCCCAGTGAGCCACCTGGATTACCACACCCTAAAGTGTTTGCAGGAAATATCGTTTGACAAGTAGGTATTGGGTGCTGATCTTTTCTCCACCCTTAACTGTCCTCCTGTCTTGTTCGAATATGGAATTCAGTTTGAGATTTCCTGTGGCAAAATAAATGCCTGGCACATTAGAGTAGTTTCCTTCTTCCCTCCGCCCTGCTCTGAAATTCAAATGAGAGCCTAGATGTAGAGTTGATATTGAAGGAGATCTATTTTATTAAGCAGCAATAAAAGGGTAGGCAGAAAAAAACAGTTCTGCAGCCCTCTTCGTGGCCGAAGTTTGGTCCTACCTGGTTCCTTAAAGTTCCTCTTCTGCTGTAATACACCAAGCCCAAACTACCTACCTGATCATTTTATTACCTAACTTTTTCCTGGCTCCGAACTCTTACATTATATCCACATGTCTTGATGTGTTGTTGTGTTTTTAAAGAGTTGAATTATTTGGAACGTTCCACTCGGGAAAATTGTTAGCAATCTTTCCCTGTAAAATACCATCCGCCTACTGGAGCAATCTCCTTATCCATCATCTAACCAGTTAAATCCCATGTGGACTATCTTTCGGTTAACTTCCTCGTGCACTGTGTTTGTGATTTAGTCATTCATACAAACCACCCATCAGAATGAATGGATCTTAAAAACATGTAGCATGTCGGTGATGTAATGCCCTTTCAAAAGGTGTGATCATTGCTTACTCTGTTACACACAGATGTTTCCATATGGCATAAGATGTATAGGTACAGTAATATGCCTAAGTAAATATCTCATGTACACCACTATATGCAAGACATAATAGTGGAACTTGGAGATACAAATGTCATTGGGTCTTCTGTTAATAATCTACTTGGAGAGACATGTTGGGATACAGAAGTCAGGAACTTCTGTTTGTTCGTCAGATCAGATGTACATATAAACAGTCTAATCTCACTGCTTTTAATTGTGTGCTCTGGAGCCTCCCTATGTTTCTTAGAAAAATAGATGCTATTTCAGATAAGATTGTCTGTAACAAGAGACTTAATGTTTGATTTTTAAAGAATTCAAGTGGGACTAAATTTAGGGACCAATTTAATTGGTTAATGTGACGTCACTTGTTCTTTTACCAAGGTGCAAAATTTGAAAATCAGGCTGTAATCCATGATATACTGCAAACCTTGTCATGTATAAATGTTTAATGTTTTTAAGTAAATAAAAGAGATGAAGTCAAGTCTTGAGGAAAGTTATTTTCAATTGAAAAGTATGTCAAAAAACAGGATAAAGCCTATAGGTAATCACTAAGAATTAGTTTATTCATTATTAGCCTTCTGAAAATCCTTTTGATAAAAGGATTCTGTTATTTCTTCATTTCTCCCTTCATTTTCGGATAGTTTGCGAGCCAAAATGTGTCAATTCTGTCTAAATTACACTGTAATTACCATTAGGACAAAATACTTAATATTACAAAGATTTTTTCTCAGCAGTGGTTAGTGGTCGGTATCTCATGGTCTATCAGTAGTCAATATCTGCTACAGCAAAAATTCCTGTAGCACAAACAGACTGGAAGGTTGTGTTAAGAGTTAATTATTAAGAGACTCTGACCTGTAATTAGAGAAGGATAAAAAGGACTCGAATTCTTAGGTTTTGGAATGATTGCATCTCCCTGGGAGAGTCCTATACAATTGGTTGACTAACACAGAAGAACTTATCATCCTTGGTCAGTTCACATTTTTCTCTTGTCCTTTGTTTTTAGCCTGAGCCTCCTACAACAAACAAATGGCAGCTGGACAACTGGCTGACCAAAGTCAACCAGCCGGCAGCACCCCCGGAGGCGCAGGGGAGCGCAGAGCCCCTGCCTCGGCACCCCGACAGTAAGGGCAAGGGTGGGGGCGACAGCGGCGGCCCCGTCCCTGGTCACGAGCGCTCGGAATCCAAAGATCCTCCCCTCAAAAGCTCCAGCAAAGCCCCTCGGGGCTCCTCTGAAGGCCCCCACGCCGGCAAGAGAAGCTGTCAGAAGTCCCCCGCGCAACAGGAACCCCCGCCGAGGCAGACCGTCGGAACCAAACAGCCCAAGAAGCCCGTCAAGGCCTCGGCCCAGGCGGACTCGCGGGCCGGCCTGCAGGTGGAGAGTGAGCCAGGACCCCCTCCGTACGGCTCCAAAGACCAGCCTTCCAAAGACAAGCCCAAGGTGAAGACGAAAGGCCGGCCCCGTGCCGGAGACAGCAGAGAGCCCAAGCCCGCGGCGCCTAGCCCCAGCGAGCGGAAGAAGCACAGGAGCGCGCCGCTGGCCCCCTCAAAGGCGCTCTCGGGCCCGGAGCCCACGAAGGACAATGCGGGGGCCAGGAGCCCCGAGCACTTTGCCCTGGTTCCCCTGACCCAGAGCCAGGGCCCACCCCACGGCGGCGGCGGCGGCGGCAGGACTAGTGGCTGCCGGCGCGCTGTGGTCGTCCAGGAGGACCGCAGGAAGGACAAGCTCCCGGGGCCCGCGAGAGACCCCAAGCTGCTGTCCCCGCTCAGGGACACTCCTCCCCCTCCAATCTTGATGGTGAAGATAACCCTGGACCTTCTTTCCCGGATACCCCAGCTTCCTGGCAAGGGGGGCCGTCCGAGGAAATCCGAGGACAAGCAGCCCCCCGCAGGAAAGAAGCTCGATTCGGAGAAGAGGGGCTCTGACAATTCAAGCAAGTTGGCCAAAAAAAGAAAGGTGAGTGAAGGGGGCCTGGGCTCCCTCTGCAGTGTGGATTGTACGTGCTGTTGGCCTGGGGCTGGCTGTGACCCCTGGATTGTCTTAGAAGAGGCAGGAAATCTTTGCTCTGATGTGATGTAGCCTTTGCTCCTGTACCAGAGTGACCCTGTCATTGTGGACCAGCATGCTTCCCACTCTGCCCCCGGGCATTGGCATATGCTAGATCCTGCAGCAGTCCTCCTAGTTGGAGAAAAGGTGAGGCAGATGTGGAAAAGGATATCTTGTTATAGGATAATGTAGCATTTCGGGGTATGCTTTTATTTTTTCTGATAACATTGGTATTTACCACTCTACCCATTACTAAGTTTTGCCCTAGAAATTAATATCTTACATGAACTGGAATTTTTTTTTTTTTAAAGATTTTGTTTATTTATTTGAGAGAGAAAGAATGAGACAGAGCATGAGAGGGGCGAGGGTCAGAGGGAGAAGCAGACTCCGATGCAGGACTCGATCCCAGGACTCCAGGATCATGACCTGAGCCAAAGGCAGTCTCTTAACCAACTGAGCCACCCAGGCGCCCTGAACTGAAATGTTAATAAGTATTCTGAATTACTGAAAGAACTGCTATATGCTAAATTCTACTACTGTGGTAGGATCCTTTTTAATACCGATACTACATCTATATTTTAACTCATGGCTGCCTGACACCTCATTAATTTGAAACTACCAGATTTAGAATTTGTGACCTCTATTAAAGACTTTTATTAGTAAACAGAACATTATTAAAAAAGTTATAGAGCTGTTAAACTCATGGTTAGGATTCCTTGTTGAGTAATACTGGACTGATAATGGTATATTTTGCGGTATTGAAAATCTGTCATTTTAGTTATCACGATTTTTAGAAATTTCATTTAAGGAACGAACATAGTGGGAAAAGAACAACATTCATGGGGCACCTGGGTGGCTCAGTTGGTTAAGCGTCTGCCTTCGGCTCAGGTCATGATCCCAGGGTCCTGGGATTGAGTTCCAAATCGGGCTCCTTGCTCAGCAGGGAGTCTGCTTCTCCCTCTCCCACTCCCCCTGCTTGTGCTCTCTCTCTCTCTGCCAAATAAATAAATAAAATCTTTTAAAAAACCCAAACAAACACACATTTATACACTACTTAAGATCCTGAGTTAACTTGGACATACCACTGTTTTGGACAGTCTCCTTCCTTCCTAGATTCTGAATCACTGAGCTCCTGATATACTTTTTGCTGATGCTTCATGGTAAAAGATAAGTGAATTTTTCCCCCAGTGGCATTCCAACCTAATCTGTTCAAGATTCAGAGTGAAAGGCACAAGAAGGACCAAGTCTTTCCTGCTGACAAGGGATAAAAATTTTTAACACTCTTAAAAGCACACAAAAAACTTCTTCCTCAGTCATGGAAGTTGAGCTAAGAATAACAAAGGACAAAAAGATCATGAAGCTTGTTGTCCTTTCTGTGATTTGACCAATTACTCTACCAGGTTAAAAATATAACATGACTTTATCAAATAGCAAAGGGCGACTGTTTTCTTCAGAAGCTTGTTGAATGAGATGTGAGGGTGTGTATTACCACCATAACTGCAGCCGGCAGCTCAAGCGGGTGGGATCCAGTCCTCATTGGTGGTGCTGTTTCAGCTAGAAGAGGGCATATTCCCATGTCAGGTAACTTTTAAGACTGTGTGTGTGTTAAAAGCGTAAAACTTTATGGATGAAATTGTGATGGGCCCGGCTAAGAAAAAGTTTCCTGCATCTCATATCCCCAAGAAAGGTTCAAAAAATACACTCCTTGGGGGCACCTCTGACTGTTCGTTTCAGCTTAGGTCTTGAACTCATGGGTGTTGGGATCAAGCCCTTCATCAGACTCCATGCTCAGCGGGGAGTCGGCTTGAAGATTCTCTACCTCTGCGCCTCCCCCCATTTGCTCTCTCTTGCTCTCTCTGTCTCTCAAAAAAATTGCACTCCTTTACCTCTCCTTCCTCCTGGGAAATCTTTTTATCACTTATTCCCCAGCTGTCATGATCTTGTCTAGTCTCTAGTGAACCTTCTGCATTAGCTGGAGTGGGGAGAAGTATTCACTTCTAAAATACTTACTAACCAGGTGGGAATGTTAGAAATTGGAGGCTCCCCAGACAGTTCTCATCCCAGCCCATACCCCAGTGCAAATCCAGAAGCAATTGACTATAACTCTGGAATGGGAAACTCTGCTCTCCCTGTTGAGTATGTGAGCCGTGCACTCTAAAAAGCCGTTCCCAGCCCTTGGCCTTGCTCCACTAGGGCAGCTCATTTAGCTCTCTGTCTAGAGGATGGAGAAATAATGACCCCCTCAGCTGAGTCAGATACATGCTTTCTTGAATGCTTTGGCAGGCAGCAGAGAGATCTGCCCCTGGGAACAGTTTGCCTCTCTGCTGTGATACCGACAGGATCAGGGTCCGAACCAGTGGTTCCAGACCTGGCTACACGTGATGGTCACCCTAGGAGCCTTTATGGCCGATGGCAGGGTTTGCACCCTCTTCCTTCCCCCTCTCCATTGATGTTTTCTAAATCCTGATGTCTAGCGGAGCTGGGAACCGCTGGAACAGAGCCATACCACAGGGCTGAGATTGTACAAAGCTAGTTCTTTGGATCAAGATGTTCCTCCAGTGTGCTCGGTTTTGACATCATGGATCTAGGCAACGAGGAATTCCTTGCCTAAAGTATGTCACTAGTTAGAAGCTGTCAGATAAGTCAATTTAAAAGTAATCCAACTGTATACTTATTTCATGATCAGCGAATCCTGGTCTTTTGGTTTTATTCCTGCTGGGTTCCAGGTACTATGAATATTGATCATATGAACCTGAGCTCCTTCCCAGTGTGGGCGGGCTCCCCCCTTTCCTGTCGGGACCCTGACTCCCACTGTTCAGCCTTTCCCACAGAGCAGCTGCTTTCCCCCAGCGTGTGCACCTGGGCCCCAAGGCAGGCAAGGCTGGTCTCTGTTCAAGCCTGAGCACTTTTCCACAAATTTGGATGGTGAAGATTTGTTCATTGCTTTCATTTTCAGTGTGAACACTAGAAAAAAAAAAGCTCTGAGCAGTTGAAGAATGTGCCTGATCCTTCGCATTAGTGAAATTTTGTTCTTCTATATTTTCTTTTTTAATTTTTCAGTAGACTCCATGCCCACCATGGGGCTCAAACTCACCACCCTGAGATTGAGTCGCATGCTCTACTGACCGAGCCGGGCAGGCGCCCCTGAACTTTAGTTTTTCATTTAAATTCTGTCTGTTCCTTTTGTGGTGCAAAATGTAGCAAATATTTTCAGAGGGTTAACAGATCCGTGAAGCCATTTTAGACTTAAAAGCAGGAGAGGATCATCCTAAGGACAAAATGGTGGGTGACAGCAGTTCTGCTGAAGCTGTCAGTTGTGGCCCCTGGAGAAAAGTATTTACTACCTTAAAGGACTGGGCAGGGGGCAGTTCATGATGAAAAATGGAGAAAACTGTGGGAGAAAATAGGCATGACTTGACGTAGTACTCCCTGCAGAAACTGCAAATTTCATCATCTAGCTTACGGTTTAGAATTTAAAATACAACTTGTATTTTCATTTATATAATTTGCAAACCAAGCTTATGTTTTCCAGGCTAGGAAGACATGGAAGTCGAGAAGTACAATAGAATAAATACAGTCAGTTGAGCACAATTGAGAGTGTTCTAACAACACACCTAACTTGCATAGCGCTCCGTGCGTGAGTTAAGCGTTCTAGGCACTTTTGTAGGTAATTTCTCTCTTTTTTTTTTTTTAAAGAAGATTTTATTTACTTATTTGACGGGGAAAGAGAGCACAAGCAGGGGGAGCGGGAGGCAGAGGGAGAGGGAGAAGCAGGCTTCCTGCAGAGCAAGGAGACTGACGTAGGACTTGATCTCAGGACCCTGGGATCATGACTTGAGCCGAAGGCAGATGCTTAACTGTCTGAGCCACCCAGACGTCCCTATAATATCTCATTTAGTTTCAATCATTGTATATAGATCGCCTCTCAAATAAAATGCCAGACTGTCCTGACCATTATGTAGACAAATATATGAACAAGGAGGTATATTCATTCAAGTCTGCCTTTTCATTTTTCTAAACAGTTGCTTCACTGACCAAGAAACTTTGGCATTTTTGGAAATTACATTTCAGAACTATCATTTATGTCAGTTTTGGGGAATGGGAAAAGGAAGTTATGGGATGTGGTGGGAAAGTGTGCATTTTTATTGCTTGCGGATGGTTGGTTCAGTCCCTTCTATCCAAGATCTGACTGTCTTTCTTTGGATTGTTTATTCAGACCAACATTTCCAGTTAGTCTTCTTCAAAATCAAGGGTTTGAAAGTCATCCCTTATAGTTTCCTAAAGCCACTGATGTCTGATTTCTTCATGCCTTGTTAATTGCCCTAAGAAGAGCATCATAACCGAATAAGCATGGTTGCCAAGGCTGTTTTAAACCATTCTTATGCCTGTGTATTTCCTCATCAAGAAGAAGGGGGGGACAGTGGGTTAATTTTCCTTTTCTGTAGTACTTATCCCAGTGACTGTAATCTGTCTTCTCAGTAAGGCCCCGCCCTCGTTCTTGGTACTGATTGGACCTGGTGTCCACTGTGTCATCATCGTCTTAGTGCACCTCTTGCAGAGGCAAATCCCGAATTTCCCAGAAGGCTGCTTCTCCACTTTTCCTGTCCCCAGGTGCTACCAAGCCCACTTGCTTCCCGGAGGGAGGTGACAGTCTTACAGTTTGAGTGCCAAGACCCTACGGGTTACTTGCTCAGCTGCTTCCTTTTCTAGAGGTGATCCAGGAAGGCTCTGACATCTCTTGGGTGCTTAGCAGAAGTAGTTCTGGAGCTCATGCTGACTCCTCCCAGTCCAGTGATGTTCTTCTCTTTCATACCTGATGGTTGGTTGGTTGGTTGGTTGGTTGGTTTTGGTTTTGGTTTTGGTTTTTTTGGTACCCAGGTGTCTAGTTGGGGGCATTATTGGAGAGAGGCACAAGGTCACAGTTGAAGATCAGTGTACTGACTCTGACAGAGTGCCATCCTGGCTCAGTCCCTCTGTTGTCCCCATTCCTGCCACTCCAGTGTGCTGCATTCTCACCCCCACCTACCCTTCTATGTCCGTTTCCTTTTCAGATGCTCCTTGGCTCTGTCGTAGCTAAGCTCCTGGTAGAAACTCTGTGGCCTAAAATGAGTGTCCGTTTTGGAAAAGCTGTCTTCATTTTCCCTTTGCTACCTGTAGGTTCTTAGATAGTGAGCCAGATGCTGGGGCAGGCAAGAGGCTGCCCTGAAGGTGTTCTCCTTCAGAAACCAACTTGGCCCAGCACAGCCCCCCTCTTCCTTTTATGGGCTTTGTACTTGCCCTCTGCTGTACTCTGGAGAGGGTGTGGCATCTGGCAGGTAATCCTTGGCCTCCTGACCCAACAGGTTAAGAAAAGCAAACAAGTTAGTTAAGAACCAGTCATCAGCCAGCAGCCTCCTTTTGTTGTTGATGCAGGCCCTGTTGAGATGCTTATCCTTTTGGAAAAAGGGAACTTCCAAAGCCCAGAGCTTACACAGGGTTCCATGTAACAGGGCTTGATCTGTGGTTAAGCCACAGGCGCAGGAGACTTCTTTTTCCTCCTGAAGAGTATATCACTCTTCTCTCATTTTCAAATGGCTGCTTGTCCCAGAAAAATCTGAAGAACTCCTTGCCTCCTGCTTTTCGGTCTTGGAATTCAAGACTGCATTTCCTGCCACTCAGTACTGCTTGGTGCCCTCTTTAATGGCCCTTTCCTAAATCCAGCCACTTAGAGTTGTAGCACCGTCCTGCTTCCGGGGGCCTCAGCTGTGCCCCTCAGCCGCTCAACTTACTTTCTGTGCCACTTGACAAATACTCTGGGGAAGCCTCTGTGATTGTTCCAGACAGAAGATGACAGGGTTTCAAGTGCATAGTGTACAGAAACACTGACCTCAAGCCCACAGACTTGAACTCAGTCAAGCGAGGACAGTCACCAGAAGGGGAATGTTGCTTCGTTGGGTTTAATGGCTTACTTTCTACCAGCTTACAGAATATGATCAGTTTGTCAGTGCAGCCTATCAGTGTCATGAGCATATTACTCCAGTAAGTGCCAACACAGGTGTGAAATGTTAGTGTCAGCGTTTATGTTTGGTGATTTCTTGGGGTTTTCTGGCTGTTCTCTTGAGTCACCAATTGGCACAAGCCAGGGGTATGTCCAGTTCGTGAGGGTTGCCTCACTGTGAGTCTTATTTTCATGTGTGGTGTATAACGTCTGCCACTTTGGTTTATAGTCCTAACCAGCATGTCCTAAGCAGTGTGAAGACAAACAAAATGAACTCTTATTCCACCTCTGGGGTTTGGTGGTGTTTTGTTTTGTTTTGTTTTCAGGAAGTAACCTTGTGGACAGCTGATGTCTAGTTTTCCCGTGGGGACTTATCTATGTGTCATTAATTGCCTAGAAACACCTTCCACTGGAAGAAGTATATATTGCTATCTACCACATGTACAAGTTAATATCTGTCTGGATATTTCAGCAAATTCAGTGACTTTGCCCAGAGAGAAATCTCCCGTCATCTCTCACTGCTTGCTAGGCCAACTTTCCAGCCCTTAATCTGAGATGGAGGAGAATTCACTGGGCAGAGACTCATGGGCACAGTAGGTTCTTAACTGACAAGGAGAATAGCAGGGCTCTATTTTAACCCAGTCATTTCCAGTCTACTCTCTCTTCTCTGCCAGCGTTGACGGTCTCTCAAGGGTCGCCATTACGAATTGTTGGATGGGGATCTGTGTGCTCTGCGGAACCCCAGGAGGCTTCTCCTGGCATGTGCCAGCGCCCTTCATCTCTTCTGAACTGTGCTCCAGAATTCTGCTGCTGGCCCGCGACGTCCGTGCTGAGGCCACAAGAGAAACCGCTGGGCCACATTCCCTGTCCTCCTCCAGCTGTGCCTCTAAGATGTGCCTGTTTGTTTACGTCACATTATCTTCTTACTAGGTCCCCCAGGGTGCTTTTTCTGTAGTCTTCTGTAATAAATGGTTCTATTTCTGAGCAACTGGTTTGTTCTTATCTTATCTAACCGGTACATTTTATTTTTTAAATTTTACTTATTTTGTTAGAGGAGGGGGAGGGGCAGAGGGGGAGAGAGAGAATCTCGAGCAGACTCCTGGCTCAGCACAGAGCCCGACAGGGGCTCGATCCTGCAGCCCCAAGATCATGACCTGAGCCAAAATGAAGAGTCAGGCACGTAAACGACTGAGCCACCCAGTCACCCCTAACCTGTACATTTTATAATTCCTCTTTGAATTGGCTAATTGGAAGTTCAGAGCCTAATTTGCAGAGTGGCTCTAGAAAACTGTAGTACAATACTGTCCACTAGGAATACAATGTAAACCATATATGTGATTTTAAATTTTCTAGTAGCCACATTAAAAACTATAAAAAGGCAAGAAACCAGTGAAAATAATTTTTAAATTTTTATTGAATCCAGTATATCTAAAACATCACCACTTCAACATTTTATCAATGTAAATGTAAGTATGTTTCCCATTTTTGCACTAAGTCTTTGAACTCCGTCACTTTGGACCAGCCATGTCGGAGTTCTGTCTGGATGCTGTCGGGGGGCCGTCAGGCTTGTGCCGGCCATGCAGAATGAGCCTCGAAGAGGGTAGAAGCCTTCCCTTGGATTCCATTTCTCTTCTCCCCATATTTTCCCTTCTTCATATTCTCACTTGTGCACACACCAAGTGATTAGAAACCTGTACCTTTATAAGCCACCTTGAATGATCTGTTTTGAAACAACAGAGAAAAGTGTTTTTCCAGAGGAGAGCTGAAGGGCTGAATGGCCGCGCACACTCAGGTGCATGGGTTTGCAGAATGTCTGGTGGAGGAGGGGCACGTGTTTCCTATTCCCCTTCCTTTGAGCGGGGTCAAGCTGCTTATTCATGTCTGGGCAGAGCTTGAGCCTGCCCGTCTGAATTTATTCATTTTTTCTTGGAGAAATTCAGGGAATGAGGGAGAGACCGGTGGTGAAAGTCGGGGCCTCCCACAATCAGTTAATTCGAAGAATGTTTTTTTTTCCTCTAAGGCTTTAAGAGAGGATTTCAGGTTTTTTAGGGATTGTCCTAGATTGACTGGGTAGTGTCCCAGATTTCTCTCTTGGTGAACTGACAGTTGGAGGAGTTTAGTTCTAAATGTGCATCAGAATTAATTGAACAACTCCCGCCAATCACTTTATTGTCACTTGCTGTTCTTCCCATGGAGCGGTTATGTGAACTCAGACCAGTGGGAAGGAGGCCGCCATGAAGTCACTGAGTCCATGTGAGACTTGCTGTAAACTTGGTCTGTATGTTAACAAGGGAAAAAGACTTTTGCCATGAAGAATTCTTTGTTCTCTTAATCACTGCGTGTGTTTAGCGTGCGCTTTAGTTGGTATAAACAGATGTTTTTGAGGTATGTGACTATAGATTTAAATATCCCTTCTGTTCATATTCTTCCCTCATTAAAATTATACTTATCCTTCTTTTTTTTTTTTTTTAATTTTATTAGTTTATTTGAGAGAGAGCACAAACAGAGAGAGAGGCAGAAGCAGACTCCCCGCCGAGCTGGTAGCCCGACATGGGGCTCGATCCCGGGCCCTGGAGATCACGACCCAAGCTGAAGGCAGACACCCAACCATCTGAGCCACCCAGGCGCCCCTTATCCTTCCTTTTTTTTTTTTTTTCCCAAATTTTTTGAAAAATAGAAACATGTGTCCCCGTATATGTATACAGAGCTATAAAGACAGTCTCTTAAAAAGAAAGGAAGAATGACAGTTGTGTCCGTGAAAGAGGAAAAAAAAAAAGTTAGCTAGAATCCCAAAGCAACTATTCTTACTTTGTTGTATGTCTTTCTAGTCCTGCCTATAAGATAGAGACAGAGGGTTTTGTAACCCTGTTTCTTTCTCAACAATGTACTTATTTTTCATTAGATGAAAAGTGAGCTTTAAGTACTCCACTCCTAATTTTATACAAAGAATAAATTAGTGGGCATAAGTGGATGGTCCTTTTGAAATAAAGGGGGATGTCTTTACTCATAAAATCATCCGTTGTTACTTGCTGTGAATATGCATGTTTTATTGATTCTTTTATATTTAGAAAAACGTCAGTGATGTGTTGAGGACTATTACTTACTCTTCCTGTTGTCAGCTATTACTTAGACATAGAGATCCTCCCTTCCCTGGGTGGGAAGAATCCTCCTTCCTTGTGCGAAAATCTGTCTCAGTACAAATCTCATCAAATCTCCATTGTCTGCTTCCCTCCACCCCCCAAAACACACACAGTGTAGGTACTTAGAAGTTTGCTGTGTGTGTATAGATGTCGTCAAAAGTCCAATGACTCATTACCTTCGCTGTGAAGTCTTTTCTGTTTTGTCCGTACATCTGTGTTTGTAACAGTGTACTTTGTTATGCTACACTAATAGGCTGAAGCAGAGAAAGACCACGATAGCAAGAAGGCCAGACTGGAGAAAGAAACCAAGTCACAGTCATCATCTTCATCCTCCCACAAAGAATCTTCTAAAACAAAGTGAGTATAGAGATCAGCAATAGCCCTGAAAGGTGATTGAGTCTTCTTGGCTTGACGGGGCAAAAACAGTTTTCTTCTGCAGTAGGAGTGGGATCAGCACACTGTTGGGCTCCTTTTGATGATGCGCTAAGTTTGTTTCATGTTGCTTTTATCCATGAGGACCTTTTGGGAATTAACAATTCATTGAATCCAAACTTAGGTTTATCAAAGACATTTTAACTATGGAAAATTTCCTGAATATCTGGAAGTAATTTCTTTCTAAAAGAATTTTTCATAAAAACAAGAAAGGTGCTATTATTATCATCCCTACTTTGCGGAATTGGAAACCGAGAAAATGACTTGTCCATAGTCACAAAATTCATGACAGATGGAACTGGCACTTGAACCCTGGGAGCCTGGTTTCAGTGCTCTTTCTTCAGGCGATTCCTGGGAGTGTCCAGGCCTATTCACTAAGTCTCTTGCTTTGGAGAGAGGTGGCGGCGGGGGTTTCCAGGAAGGTGTGACTATAAACAATAACTATTATTCACTCTCTGGTTTATTCAAGAAATCGCTTCATATGATGACTTGGCAAAAGAAAGTGTATAGTGTCACTGGGTGGGAGCCAACAGAGATTTGGGAGGGAAGGAGCGGGGAGGAGGGCAAGAGAAGGTGGCAGCTGGCTTGGCCGCTTGTCAGAGAAGGGTACAGGTTAGGGAGCAGCTAACAAGACTAACTTGGTTGGGGGAGTTGGGATCTGTGGCAGACTCTGGGAGCTTAGTGACAAACCACACAACTTAATCCATTATTCATAGATCGGACTAGATCTTTCAAAGTCCCTGAAATTGGGTCTTTCTACAAGAATGGACTTCATGCTCTGTGATTTCTTAATTTTTGGTGTCGTCAGTCATTTTTTCTTACAACTAAACTACTAAAGTTATGTGGTTCGGGTTCTGTCTTAAATTAAAATTTTGCATGATGTTTCCTTCCAGAACATCCAGGCCCTCCTCTGAGTCCTCAAAGAAGGAAGCGCTTCCCCACCCACCTGCATCTTCATCCTCCTCCTCCTCCTCCTCCTCCTCCTCCTCCTCCTCCTCCCAGAAGCCAGCCAAGCCTGCACAAAAGAGGCCAAGGCGGGAAGCCGACCCCTGCAGCCAGGACCCTCCCCAAAGTGCCAGTTGTAGCAAGGGCAACCACAAAGACTCTTCCGCCCCCAAGCACAGAAAAGTTGAGGGGAAGGGACCTGGAAGCAGTACAGAGCACAAAGTAAGTGGGGGGGCTGGAACTTACGGAGTGGAATCCATCAGTACATCTTTACTTTGAATTCCCAGATAAGAGAAGTTCCTAAGGATGGTATTTCAGAACTCTTCGTCACTGCTAATAGGGCAATAATGAGTTATTTGTGTTTAAGATTCTACCACGTTTTAGAGGGAGAGTAAAAAAGATGGTTAATATTCCGTGTAAGTTTAGATGTCAGTTTATTCTTCCTTAACGAAGTGGTTCAGAGGTGAAAAGTCGGAATAGATTTTTGTGTTAATTTTCTATCTGGTGCTTTGCAGTAAAAAATGTTACCTAGCTTAGTTCTTGGTTCACATGTTTGGTATCAGATACTTTGGTTTTTGGTTGTAATGGAAAAAAAATAGCCACTTTCTCAAATAATAGTCAAATATAAGGTCCTTTCTTCCTGCTAACCTGGGGGGTGGGGTGGGGTGTGTGTGTGTGTGTGTGTGTGTGTGTGTGTGTGTGTGTGTGTGTGGACTACAAGAAAATGTTACGTTTAGCTTTGTTGAGTATCTGTGCCTCGGACATTCTTGTCTTACATCTTTTTGGTCCTCAGTACAATCAGTACCTACAGTTTCAGATGAATCTAGCTGGGAAAATGCTTAGCTAAGCTACATTGTACAGTACTTGATTTCCTCTTTTTTTGAACTACTATTTTGGGCTAATTTAGAGGGGTGTGGTACCTTTCGGTCAATGGTTTTAACTGTTGGAGTGTGACCTGTATGATGATTTTTTTAAAGGGATCTTCTGGAGATACTGCATATCCTTTTCTAGTGCCTTCTTTGCCAAATGGTAACTCGAAACCAGGGAAGCCTCCAGTGAAGCCTGACAGGTAAGACCCTGGGTCCTCCTGCTTCTGTTTTCCTCCTGTTTCCTCTGCCCCTTCTCTGCTTCCTCCCTCCTCCGCCCCGTCTCCTCCCAGCCTTTTTCACCCCCTTCGTCTTCACTCATCTTGTCCCAGTCTAGTAATTCCAGGTTCCTCTGACTCACTGCTGATATTTGCTTCTCTTTCAGACAACAAGCAGATTTTCACATGAAGGAGGCCAAAAAGTTGAAGCAAAAAGCAGAGTTAATGGTCAGTTTGGCTCTTTCATCCCTTTGGTAGAATGTTTTCTGATAAGATCTCTGTGGTCTCATTGAATTCCCTATCACTGAACGGGGCGGGGGGGGGCGGGGGGGGTGTCGCGACATGGGCCACAAAGGAAAGCAGGATCAGCAGGTCTTAAGCAGCGAGGGGTAAGGGATTCTTAGTGAAATTATTCACTTTGACTCAGTCTGAACATGAGTGAATGAATAGACAGGGTACCTAGTGACAAGTTTTATATCTAAATGAATGGAAGTTAAATCTACCTGGTGGTGTTTGTTTTAATACATGAGGGCTTCCTCGTGCCACTGAGTCAGTTCTTTGGCTGTGGGAGACAAGTTCTGCTATTGAAAGTCGATCAGTTTGTGTTCAGCCTGAAACATTTCAGAAACTGAGGTAGTCTGTGCTCCCAAATTGTCTTAACGCCCTTGAGATAATGGCCCGAGGAAAGAGTAGAACGAGTGCTGTTCGGTAAAATTTGAACATGAAGGTAATAATGAAGCAGTAAAAAAAAACGTGCTTTTACAGAATGAGCCCTCTTCCCCCAGTGGCTGCTGGGACGTTCTGGGAAGCGGTGCTTTGTTATTAATTGCATCCGTGATTGAATGTGCTGTTCATCCCTGCTGCAGTGTGATTACATCATGCCTGCCCTTTGTCGTGTTCAAACATCTGAGGCTCGGGGCCTTTTATTTATTTCATGTGTGCTCTAAGCCCCAACCCCTGCAAATACCATATATTGAACCTTGTACACATGAGAAGAGCATGGTGGCCCCCGAGACCTGGGCCTGCGCTCTCTGCCCCAGTCTGCAGGCAGGCATCTCTCCTCAGATCCTCAGACCGGTTAGGGAGGGCTGGACGGAGACCCTGTTATCAGCCCCTGTTCATCAGGGCAAGATGCTTATCAAATCCTTACTATGTGGGAATGCTGTGAGGGGTTCAAAGATCAGCCTCTGCCTCTAGACCTGTCTCCAGAGCGGCCCCGTTCCTAGGACGGCTGCATCTGTACTAAATGTGACAGTGTTTTTCCTGTCTCTCCCTTCCAGCTCCCCAGAGCTGGTGCCAGAACTGTAAGAACCTTTTGAATTCTGCAAAAGAGTAAATATTCTAGTACTTTGTCAGCCAGTTGTCTAAAACTTGCCCTGACATTGGACGCTTTCAGCCACTAGATTCCTTCATTATTTTTTTTTTTTTTTAGTATTTTATTTATTTATTTGACAGAGACAGCAAGAGAGGGAACACAAGCAGGGGGAGTAGGAGAGGGAGAAGCAGGCTTCCCGTGGAGCAGGGAGCCCGATGCGGGGCTCGATCCCAGGACCCTGGGATCATGACCTGAGCCAAAGGCAGATGCTTAATAACTGAGCCACCCAGGCGCCCCAGATTCCTTCATTATTCAAACAGTAGTCCAGGGGACTTTTTTTTTTTTTTTTAATTTGTATAGATGCACCTCTTCTTCCTCCCTGCCTAAGCTGCCCACATATCCCAGTGTTCCCAGTTCAGTCCTGGTTTATACCTTGTTGCATCTCATTTTAATAGCTAATAATAGCTCATTTCACTCTGAAAATATGCTGGTTTGGACAAAAGCCCGAATGGGCAGCCTCTTTATTTTTCTTTAATTATCCTTTATTTGCACAAGGTCTCAAAACGGTCCATTTTGTGTTCCAAATCGTTAAGTGCACCACTGAACATAGAGGAGTGTCTTTTTTTCTCTGTGTCCTACTCACTGTTGAGAAGGGAAGTGAGGCCGCTATTCTTAAACCCTGTCTCCGGAGCTACCCAGGGGGCTGTCACAGGAATGTTTTCGTTCTTAGCCTTACAGAATACTTCCCTCAAAGAAGCGGATATTGGCAATTTTTTTTTTTTACTATAGTTCCTTTTGTTTATACACTAAGGCCAGTATAAATCTTGGAATTTCCATGAAAGAAATGGCATTAAATAAACAAATTGAGGAGTTAAATTCTCACCAGTGAAGCAAACCAGTAAAGCCCTGTACTGCTGGTTTAGTGGGGGCGTGCCAATTTGATCTTTATTCTTTCTGTCACTAATTTTCAGTTTTTGGGTTTTTTTTTTTTTTTTGAAATGTAAAACAGACTTTTTATTAAACATAGAAAACATTTTTCAAGTACAGGAAGTTGACAGCACTTAATAAATACAATACTTAATGTTTCAAGTTTTTCTTAATTTTTCCTTATTTCTTAAATCAAGTTAGTTAACATATAGCGTAATACTAGTTTCAGGAGTAGAATTTAGTGATTCATCACTTACATATAACACCCAGTGTTGATCACAACAAGTGCCCTCCTTAATACCCATCCCCCATCTGGCCACCCCTCACCCACCTCCCCACCAGCAACCTTCAGTTTGTTCTCTACAGTCAAGAGTGTTTTATGGTTTGCCTCCCTCTCTGTTTTTATCTTATTTTATTTTTCCTTCCCTTCCCCTATGTTCATCTGTTTGGTTTCTTAAATTCCACAAGAGTGAAATCATACGGTATTTGTCTTTCTCTGAGTGACTTATTTCACTTGGCATAATATCCTCTAGTTCCATCCACGTTGTTGCAGATGGCAAGATTTCATTCTTTTTGATGGCTGAGTAAGACTCCATTTTATGTATACATTTGTATACATCTTTATCCATTCATCAGTCATTGGACATCTGAGCTCTCTCCATAATTTGGCTTATTGTAGATAACACTGCTATAAATAGGGTACGTGTGCCCCTTTGAATCAGTATTTTTGAATCCTTTGGGTAAATATCTAGTAGTGTATATGTTGGATCATAGGGTAGTTAGTTCTATTTTTAACTTTTTGAGGAACCTCCCTACTGTCACTGATTTTCTGAGCCTGGCTTTCTCTGGAAAAAATAGTTTAGAACAAAGTTATTTTTAAAAAGTTAGCAGCCCCACGCCATCTTTCTTTGCTGATATGTTACCATCTCCTTATACTCCTCTTGCATCTTTGCTGTTTTCCTTTTTGAACATATCAAGTTGAAAGCATTAGCAGAAACTACAAACTTGGATATGTGTTAATTGGTTGCTCTTATAACACATGGTCCATATGGCAAGTGTAGAGAAAAGGTGGGGGTGCTCATCACAGTCTCTGGGGAGCTGGCTGTGTTCCAGGGAGGAGAGCATTCCGTGACACCACGTGCCTTCAGGTTTAGGTGACCACCAGTATTTGAGCTCATTCATGTTTCTACTTGCCCTTTAAGGGACTCTGAAATTTTATCCTCCCTGGCCCAGGGATAGCCTTGTACACTTAACCCTGACTTCCAAATGAGATTGGATAATCTGTTTGGCTCTAAAATACATAAGACAATTATTGTTAGACATAAGTTCTAAGATGCTCCTTAAACCATGTTTCCTATTGCTTATAAGATAAACTTCCACACATGCAAAGAAATTTGTGTCTGCATCATTCTAAGTAGGAAAATCTCCTTTTCATGAAAATCACATAATTGTACACCAATAACAAGGGGACGATGTGCTTACTGCCTTGGTTTGAATGTGTAGTTTAAGACTTTGAGAGAGTAGTCTTAATAAGGTTTTCTTTTTCCTACTAAATTTTTGCTAAAAGAAATTTTGCAGTAGGTCAGAGCCAACAGGCTTTGGTTATCATTTTGAGTTCCTTTGTTCTCACACTTTTCCCTAGCCATAATTAAGACAGTGGAGGGAAGTTGAGGTAGAGAATATGGTTGAGAAACTAAACAGTTAAGTCTGTCTGAGGCCTAACATTGACCATGCTCTTCTACAGACAGACAAGGTTGGGAAGGCTTTTAAGTACCTGGAGGCCGCCTTGTCCCTCATTGAGTGTGGGATTGCCACGGAGTCGGAAAGCTCAACGTCCAAGTCGGCTTACTCGGTGTACTCGGAAAGCGCAGACCTCATTAAGTAAGTGCCACGTCATTTTGCCATCTTGCTACGTGCTTCTCCTTCCTCGCCTTTTATTGTTCGAATCCACTCGAATTTAGTAGGAAGACAACTTAACAAAGGGGAGCCTTAAAAAAAAGTTACTGATCCAGAACCGTTTCTTGGGCCCGAAACGAAAATTGTATTCTAGATGATGTGATAAAACGGAGGGACCGGGTCCAGCTCCATCCTCCTGCCAAGTGCACCGTGAAATGCCAGACCGTTCAGGGAGAGCCTGGTTTTTCCAGTTTGGCTGTCTTGCCAGATACACTGGTAGCTCCGTGTCCGCTCCCTTCTTTGTCTGTGTTTGGGCAGGGGACGCCGGGAGGACACGCGTCTACGTGGTTTCCAGCAGGTAACAGGCCAGAGAAGAGACATGTCCTTGTCTGCTTTGCTGAATGGCCTGAATTACTGCTCTAAAGCCTGGGGTTTTCTTCTGCGTGGTTTTCATGTCTTCACATCTTCAGGAAAATCAACATAAAACCAAGACAAACCTAATAAGATATCTTTGTGCCTGGGATTTTCTAACTGCCTTTGGTTAACCTGATGTATTTTTATATTTTCCTATAGATTTATAATGTCGTTAAAATCCTTTTCAGACGCCTCAACTCCACAAGAGAAAATATTTGCTGTTTTATGGTGTGTACTTTTATTTTTCCTTGTCTAAATAGTATTTGCTTTTGCATCTTTTGCTGTTATAAAAAAGATTTTGAAATTTGTTTTCTTAACATGGGAATTAATAATGAAAGGCAGAACAATAATAGAAAGTAGGATGCGTGGTCAAGAGGTTAATCCCGCTGACAGTTATTTTTTATGAAAGGCATCTACTGCCATTTTACTGTTGACTCAGTAGATGCTTTGGTCTCATGACTTAAGTGATATTCTTGTGTATTTGTGTTTTTCCACCAATATTTACTTTGGGGGGAGGGACCAGAGGGAGAGGGAGAGAGAGGACCTTAAGCAGGCTCCACGCTCAGTGTCAGCTTGATCTCAGGACCCTGAAGTCATGACCTGAGCCGAAATCAAGAGTGGGATGCTCAACCAACTGAGCCACCCAGGAGCCCCTTTATGCCTTATCTACTTTTGATGATAATGTGAGCAGTACGGTAAGATTCTTAAGATGTTCTCCTCATGTAGATGAGGAAAACCCAGCGTGTTCCTTAGACTATAAAATGTTAATTAGATGGCTTTGTGTAGTAGTGATACTCGTGTCTACGAAGTAATTCTTCACTTTAACTTCTGTTTATGTTCATAGCATGCGTTGCCAGTCCATTTTGAACATGGCGATGTTTCGTTGTAAAAAAGATACAGCAATAAAGTATTCTCGTGCTCTTAACGAACACTTCAGCAGTTTTTTCAAAGTTGCCCAGGCACCTTCTCCATGCATTGCAAGGTAATGAAAAGTCTAATTTAAATAATTCTTAAGATCAAGTTATCTCTTTATTTAGCTCTTGCTTTTGCAACCATTTGTATGACTTTGGCTTTCTAAAAATTGTGTACATCTATGTGCTGATTTGCTCCTTAAATTATTAGCATATTTCTACCTTTTTGAGGAATAGGTATAAGTCAAGGTGTTTGCTGAGTAAGTAACATAAAAAGATAATTACAAAGAATATAGGGTCAAAATTTTAGAGCTTTGAGGATCTTCAGATACGCCTAACAACACAAAACAAAGGCAGAGCCAATCAGAGCCGAAGTCTTTTCTCCATCTACGTGACCTGTTGTCTTGGCATTTCAGTAAACAAGAACTTTCCAGAACCGAATGCCCTTATCTGGGATCCATGACAGTAATATTAAGAATGAAAACTATCTCTAGCTGGCTCCTGCCTCCTTTGTGAACTGAAGGTGTTCATCTGTGCCATAAGATGTTGAAAAACAGAATTTTTGTGCAGGTGTTGTTAAGATGAAGTTAGAATTTTCTTCCCTGTAGTACTTACCTAGCATTTTTTTTTTTTTAAATTGGTTATACTCCTTGAAAAGTTCCCCGTTCTGATAAGTTTTGCTATTTTAAGAATATCACCTAGAAGATTGCCCCATTTCTAGCACCTTCAAGAGAAAAGAGTCCCATATGGCCTCTCTTAAAAAAAAAAAAAAGTCCTGATTGAGAAGTAACTTTTCACCTCTGAAAATTTTCATGACTCTCACCTCAGATGTAAATTGTCAGCCACGTTATTTTAAATAACTCCTTCACCGTTTGTCCAGCCGCTATATAGCTAGCACCTTCTTTGTACCAAACCTGGTTTTTAGGTACAGGGGTAAAGCAGTATACAGAGCAGACAGGAATTTCTGCCCTCACGGAGCTGCCACTCTAGTCCTTCACAGTGTACACTCTGCGGGGGACACTTGGGGTCCCTGCAGCCCCCCAAGGGCAGATGGACCCAATCATGAGGCTCCTGCTGTTTGACCCATCTTTCCATTACTTTTTAGATCGAAGTGTTTTCCTCTTGTTTCTCACTTGAGGCCCATCAGGCCCTTGTTAACTTGCATGTGCAGGTATGTAGCCAGAAGGAGAGTAGAGAGAAGACTGCATCCCCTGATGCGTCGTACCTCTTTCCCAGTCTCCTCGGAGGCTGTCCTGTATTCATCTAGTCATTGATTCAGTAGATACTTGGGAAGAGCCTACTCTCTGTGTTAAGTGCTAGAAATGCAAAGATTCATAAGAAATGGTCCCAGCCTTCAAGGAAGGAAAAGGAATAGACAGAAGAGTATAATGGGATGTGAGAAATGCGGTGGATAAATTCATAGGTAAATGCAAAGAGACCAGTTCAGGTGGTGGCCAAAGGGAGGCCATGCTGTCTCCCTGGGGTCCAGAAGAGGGCCAAGTGTGGAGTGGGTGCTCGGTCAATGTTTGACTGGTTGAGAGAATGAATATATAGGAGATTAGAACTGTCTTCCCAGGGAAGCACTGTTTTGGTGGAAGTTAGAACTGAGGGTGGGGGAGGAAGGGATTTCAGGCCGAGGGAGTAGACTGTGTAAATGGAGCAAGCACATTCGGAATGTAGATGTGCCCACGTGATTCTGGGTCCAGCGAAGGACGCCTTGCGTCCGTCCAGCTACTTACTTTCTCTGTTTGGTGGCCCCATTTTGTTGTGTGCCATTAAGTAAATTCCCCAAATCCTGAAGGTGAAGGGTGTCTCTGATCTTATAGAAGTGATTTTCATCTTGGCTAGTGCACCCCGAACTTTGTAACTTGGACTGCAGTCCCAGAGACAAGAAGTCCGTGATCTGCGGGGTTAAGGTGATGAACCGGTTCTCTTCTTTGTCCCGCCTCCCAGAAGCACAGGCACACCGTCCCCTGTCTCTCCGATGCCTTCTCCTGCCAGCTCCGTCGGCTCCCAGTCAAGTGCTAGCAGCGGAGGGAGCGGCGGCATGCCTGTCACCATCCAAAACATGACGTCGTCTTATGTCACCATTACATCCCACGTCCTTACCGCCTTCGATCTTTGGGAGCAGGCTGAGGTCCTGACGAGGAAGAATAAAGGTAAAAGGCTCTGTGGTGGTAATTCCCGGGGCGTGGGCATCTGGAGGGAGTGCCATTGTTGGTTTGTATTTTATGTTCAGTGTTCTGAAGACAAGGGAGTGTGGAGCTATCTGCTGTCCTCCCTCCGCCTCCCGACCCAGCCGCAGTTCCTGCTTGAGCCCTGTGGCACGGAGCCAGGCTTCCGTGACCCGATCTCCGCAAAATTAAAGTAGAAGTGGTTGCGGCGCCTTGCCCTCCAGACGTTCTGGCAGCATCGTTTCAGCCCGAGCTGAAGTGCCGGCGACAGGGCAAGGCTCGTGAAGACGGGAGGGGACCGGCTGTCTGCGCACAACCCCTGTGTACGAGAGGTAGTGTGACCTCAATAGCGGGTCGCACGCTTGTTTTCAGTATCTGTTGAGAAAGACGGTCAGCAGCAGTCTGAGAAGCGTGGCATAGCAGACCGTCCTGAGGCTTCTTTGAGAGGAAGAAACCCGGGAGAGAGCCGAGGCCTAGGCGGTGGTGGAGCGCGGGCCGTTGGAGGGACTGCCCGTGGGCGCCCGGCGAGCGCTGAGTGGAAGCGGCCCTGCCCCTGCCCCGGATGCCGCTCCGGACTCTCTCCCGGCTCTAGGGACGGCAGGGGCCAGCTGGCTGCAGCCACTTACTTTTCTCGTAGCCTCTTAGAATTTTACTTTCTTTCGTAGCAAACTAATGACGCTTTTCACCGGTTGGGGGTGTTTTGTTTCGTTTTGTTTTGATTCGGCCCCCCACCAGCCCCGTAGTACAGGTTGGGTAGCTTCCAGCACGTGCCCTGGGCCAGGCATGAAGGAGTCCGCTTGGGAACTGGCTCAGGGCCCAGCCTGGCGCCCAGTGGGGGGATGTGGAGAACTAGCGAGCCATTAACGGTAGTAGATGGCGGTTTTTGGCTGTGATGAAGTACAGAATATTGTGGGGATACGGTTGCTGGAACTTTGACTTTTTATGTTTCCGTTTTTATTTTTGTGTGTGCAAATGTGTTCACTTGGTTTTGGTTTTGCTTTGTTTGCAGAATTTTTTGCTCAGCTCAGCACAACTGTGTGCACCTTGGCCCTCAACAGCAGTTTGATGGATCTGGTGCACTATACAAGACAGGGTTTTCAGCGGCTAAAACAAGCAACCAAAACACCTTAACGGAGGCCCAAGTTGATTTGATGGCTTGGGAACTTTTTTGCACATTGAAAGCCTCAAAAACAGTTCAGACGTTTGTCTCATCACGACACCAAACTCGAGAAGAGAAGCACCATGAGATGGCCAGGACATTTGTCCGCTTAAGCTTTCAAGAACTTATGTGATCGTTGGTTGGACATGGTGGCTATACAGAAGCAGAGAGGAGGAGGCTGGCCTCAGAGATGATCTTGCCTTTCCTAACTGAAGGACAGAAGTGCAATGTAGACTAAGTGGGCGTATGAGTGGTCTAGAAACATTTCCGTACTTTTTTTAACCAGCAGGATGCAAATGGCAGATGAAATGAGGAGAAGCAGTTTCAGCTCTGAGAGCAAGTTCATGTCATCTCAGTAGCCACCCTAGTCTATTCCCAGAAGGAAATATTTTAAACAATGAATTTTGGTGTAGGGTTTTGTGGATGATTTTTTTTTTTCTTTTAAGTTTTGGGGGAAATCTTTGTTTAGTAAATTCTTAACGGTCATCTATAAAGCGTAAGTTGTGAAGGACTCCACTGTACCCCACTTTCTGCCCGTGAACAGTGACTTTGATAATACCAAGTATTGTCACAATTTATAAAATTGAAGGCAACTCCCCCACACCCCCCACGCCCCTGTTGCCTGGAGTACCGCGCGTTCACCCCACTTCTGATTTCTCCGTCACTGCTGAGAGTCAGCCTAAGTCCGAGCAGTGGAGGGAGGAGCTGCTGCCCACGGGGACGCCATCTTGAGATCGCATGCACGATGGAGGACGTGGCGGTGTCATCTCCACCCCCTGCTTCAGCGAAAGGCAGTCACCACTGACTATATTCTGAATTTTCTACCTTGGGGAAGAAGGGAACCAACATTTATACCCGACCAGATGGCTAAAGTGCTTTTTAATTTTTGTTTAAGTAGAGCTGGAATTTGAGGTGCTGATCTGTGGTCTACAGTTATGTGGTAACTCATGTTGTCTAACCAACTCAGAATTTTGTCAGCAAACAAAGAAAAATGAAATCTACTTCTTAGAGAGGCTATATTTTTCTGCTACAGATTATTTTATATTTATAGCAAAAGTAGACTTTCTGAGCCCTTGATTGTCTAGGGTAAGTCAACTCCCTAAGAGGATGTGGAGATTTGGGTGGTTAATTAGACTTAAAAAAAAAAAAAAAAAAAAAAAAAATCACCACATGCCTTCACTCCAAAGTGTTCTCAGTCAACTAGATTTGATTGGATTGAAGAACCGTGGCCTTCCCGTATGTTGTTATTGCCATATTCTAGACGTTAAACCAAGTTCATAGGGAATGACCTAAAATGAAAGAACACAGTCAAAATTCCCACGTAACCATAAGCACAGATTTTTTTTTTATTGAAACTTTGAAGGCTATTGGAAGCATTATTTTGAGTGCAGTGTTTTTAAAAGCCAATTCTTGATATCCCTTTTAGAAGTAGAATTTGCACATGTATTAAAATTGAGGAGTGAGTGTTACCGCTACCATTGGTCCATTTTTTTCTCTCCCTTTATCCCATTCTGCCCCTCTACATTTTGTTTCCTACCCAGAACATTTGTCATTTTCATATTATTAATGAAGAAGGGAGTGCCATCTTTATAAGGAAGAGGTCGAAGGTCCATACAAGGAATGTAAGAACTCGGTGATCTGGTCAATACGTAAAGGGATGTGTAGAGGATGGGAGTGATGATGATTTCTCACGTATGAATTGTTCGTGTGAAGCTGTTCCTTCAGTGTCTCAGCCAGCCTGTTCTTTGTTATCAGTAGCTAGTTCAGAGGTTTGTTACCTCATGTTTAGGTTAAAACCAGAGAGTTACAGCAGTACTAATATCTGAGCATGAGGACTGGATGTGTGGTCTTGATGGACCGATTTCATTCGCTGATGTTCTAAAGCAAGGCCATTTAACAAAACCTAATTGTCTGTTGGGTTGTGGCATCATGCCCATCTCTTGTATGTGTGAAACAAGACACCAGATTCAGGTTTCTGTGATTATTTAATGTCCTTTTCCCGCTTATTCACTTGGCCTTCTCTGCCCCTTTGCCCCACCATTCCCCAGTACAAGTCACCTGTCAGTTTGGGAAGCTGTGTCTTTTTCGGACAGGTTCTGATCTATGCAGATCTCCTGTCAGTGAGCGACACTGCTCCTGTGACTGAAGACATCTTGGTGTCGATTGCTCAGCCACTTCTAAAAAAAAAAAAAAAAACTGATTGCTTTTTCAGTGGCCTTATTCTTCGTGTGTAGTGTTTTTCTCCCCTGACCTTTATATTAAGAATTTATTTGTCCCTTGAAAAACTAATCAACTTGCAGAGATCAATTTGTAGTATTTTGAACATGGGATATTTCCGATTCTTACTGCCTTGTACCTAAAAGAGGATTCCCAGTGGCTACTTTTTAAATAGAGTATGTGAAAAATAGTGGCTGATGAATCCTTAATGTTCATAAGGTCTTTTTTCCTGTTACAGTTGTATATAGAAATCTTAAAGAATTTTAAAAATCACTGCACTTTTTCACTGCATGCTTAAATTCCCAAAGGCAGAATTTGTACTGAGGTAGATCATTGAAAGGACTAGATTATAAAATGAGACAAATAACAAAGCATCTTAAGGAGTGAAAATTGAGTGTAAAATCTTGCCTTCGGCACTACAGTTTTGTGTGTGTGTGTGTGTGTGTGTGTGTCTTTACTAGGAAATGGAAGAACACTGTTTTACTTTTTAAAATGTTGAATGTTTCTGTCATTTCTGGAGATAATTAAAATGTGAATCACTGAACTTGAGATTTTAGCCAGACTAGGGGCCCTGCTAAAGGATGATAAACACTTCACTGAAATTTACCAAATGACACTGGGTTAAGAATGTGAAAACATTCGCCACATGTGAGCTGCGGTGAAGAAGCGAGGGTCCAGGGGGTGTATTATCAGGACGAGAGCTGCAATAGCATGACTTCTAGGATACACTCAGTGCTGACTGATAATGAATCAGAATTTTTCTTTTTTTAAATAAAAGGATCTTTATTTTATAGATCTGTTTTGACCAAGATATTTAGCTTTTTCCCCTAGACAAATTAGAACACATTTATATCCTTTGATTCCAGATCCCAGGCTTTTGAGAAGCTAAGAGTTGACCCCTTTCTGGCTGAAAACTTGCCTTAATTGGTACCTTAAATATTCATGTCAGTAGAACCAGGAGCTTACTATTTTGTTAGGATTCCTGTCCAATAATTTTTAGAAGCAAAAAGATGAACCATTATGTCCTTCAAAATGAACAGCTTTTGTATCTGATACAGAAAGGAGATGTGCGTGTGTTGTACGCATACATACGCATTCACACACACACAGACTATGAGGCTCGTTGAATTAGATGTATTCATTGTGCCTTTGTTGACCAAACCTAATTTTGAAATAATACTAATTTGGGATAATGCTGTATTTATTTTGATACGGCTTTAAGACATGTTAATGTGGGTCTTGTACCTTTTGTTCTGCTTCGTGAAGTTTGAGGCATATTTATTCATCTTCAGGTAAATGAATCAAATAAGGCTTGATTCCCTACCTCCCACCACAGATTCTACTTTTTTCTTAAGGATTTATTTTCCCAGACACTACACAAATCTTTGAAAAAAGGTTGCCACTTCTTCTACTACAGTCTTTACCATCAATTACCAGTATTTCAGTTTTGCAAGGATATTTGGGCTTCTTTTAGAAACACAAATGCAGAGATTTGCTCACTGGAAAGTGAGTTGTGTATGGGGCTACGGAGGCGAGTCAGGATTATGGTGGTACTTCTTTGTTCCCTTTCTGTAGTGGGTTGTCTCTTCTGATTGTTTTTGGTCCTATTGAGAATTGATGAATATAAGGTTTTTCCTGTGCCTTTTCATCTTTTGTCCTTTTGTTTGCTGGAGGTTGAGTGGCAGAATTACATGGTGTTGGGGATCTTCCTTCAAACATTGCAAGGCGTATTTGTACCATATAAACCTCCAATATGCAATCCAGTCGTGTTGGTTTCTCGGTGACTAAGAATGATGACCACTGGCCATGTTCTTTAGTTCTTACGATGAGCTGGCAAGCACCACCTATCTACTTAAGGGGGCTGTGGACTTCCTGTTGTCCTAGGGAAATCATACAATGTTCCACTGTGCAACAGATCTCAACAGGTACTGTGATGGGTAGAAAAGTGCCTGTATTTCTCTACCCACAAGGGCAGGAAGGAAACCTACAGCTCCCTGTGAGCCTAGATAATACTCTCTCGGCCTGCAAGGACAAGGGAATAAGACCACTGGCAGCAAGGCTGGCCAGGCTGCACTGGTGAGACCAGGCGGTGGCCGACCTAAGGCAGATAACGTGCTTTGCTTATAGAAGTAGATGTTTAAGTGATGCTTAACACAGGCAGTATTAACTTCGCCTTTTGTTCAGGCCATCAACATGTATTGCTAAAATTACTGCACGTTCCCCCTCAGATATCAAGTATACACTGTTCATGTTGGGGTGTGTGTGTGTGTATGTGTGTGTTTATAGGTATGTGTCCCAAATCTTTTTTGTCTTTTTCTGAATGTGATCATGTTTTGGATGATACCTGAGCAGGGTTGCCTTTTTTTATTTATTACCATTATATATTATATTATATTATATATTTGTTGCTTTCTTATAACTTTAGAGGAAGTCAAATCTTGGTATTAAAATTGTTTAAAAAAGGAATAAATTGCCCAGTTGATAAATGATCACTGGTCTGTCTAAAATACGAATTTGTCTCTAGTTCTTGTGGAATAATGTGCCAGCTGTCTAGTCCACACAGTGAGTTTGTACGTAGGCTAGGGAAGCAGGGATGCTCTCAGCGGGAAGATGTGCAACACAAGGAAGGGGGATGCCATGTATTGTATCTACTTCAGCAATGGAACTGCAACTTGGGGCTTTTGTGAATAAAATTTAGCTGCCTTGTATAGTCCTTTGAAAGAGACATATGTGATCTGTGAAAATTATAGTTTTCTTTTTTTAGAAGAAAAATTTGCAAAAGATCTTTCCAAAGATAACGTGCCACAGATCTTTTGTTTGTTGTTCTCTGTAATGAGGATTAATTGCTGTTTAAAAAGACATGTAATTGACTTGTTAATCTTCAAATTCTTTCCTTTTCACAAGAGGATCGAGCTGTAAAAAAAAATAAAAATAAAAATTTAGAGAAATCATTGGGGCTGAATCCATGCTTTCATTTTGCCTGAATAAAGTAATTCCTAAAATTGCTATATATAATTACCACTTAGCCAAGAAGAGTCTGACACGGTGGAATGACATGCCCTTGTTCACAATATGTATTTATTGTTGAAATGGGAAAAGAAGTGTGGGCAGAGGGAAGCTCATCCTTCTCTTTCTTTGGTTTATTTTTAAGAACTTCAGTCACACACGAATTACCCTTCACCAGTGTGGCATCTTCTCTGACATTAAGGGCCAGGGGCAACGGTGACCTTAATTTGCCTGTTTTCAATGTTTGTTGGGTGGACAGATCTGTAGAATGTTGGTGTTGAAAGGTTTTGAAAGGCCATCTGGTCTCTCCTCCCTTTGCTACTCTGAAAGAACTCATGTTCTACCTCAGTGCTTTTAGTAAATCAGGAAAAACCTAGGTGCTGAAATCTGACTTGCTGAATTTGAATCCTGGCTCTTGAGTTTGCTATGTGTGGCCTTGGGCAAGTTACTTAACCTCTCTGGGGTCTTCTCATTTTTATAAACTTTCTTGATTTGGTATCTACCTACTAGTAAGATGGTGAGGATTAGGCTTGATGGTTCTAGAGAGCACTTAGCATAATACTTGGCATGAACACTCAAACTGGTGGCTCCTTTAATTTACTCCTTCCCCTTACTGCACCACAGTATCCCCACAGCTACCCTCCAGCCTCTGACCGAACACTGATAAAGACCTCACTACCCTCCTCTTCCTTTTCCATCTTTTGTTCCATAGGTTAGGTTGACCTCTACTTACATTGATCCTACTGAACAGACCCCCAACCTCACTCAGCAAGCTTGTGGCAGAGTCGACAAGCAGCAAGAACCGGTAAGCACGTGTGGAGAAAGGGTGTTTTTAGTCCCTATTAAGAGAAGCTGTAGGGCAGACATCTCATTTGAACTAGGCCTTGAAAGATGGGCCATAAAATCTCTGGTTTTCATCTTTTTCACAAAAAATGTCCCATGTCCTAGCTTGTCTATTACAAATTTTCAGTAGTAGTTGTCCTTTGTATGGTTGTACCGGTTTATTTAACCAACCTCCTTGTTAGACATTGAGATTATTTCTAATTAGGGGCTATGATAAAGAATGCTTCCACAACTATCCCTGAATCAAACTATTTGGACAGATTCAGCAATTAATATTTTACCATATTGTCCTTAAGTAAATGTGTGCATATATATATTTCTGCTGAAGTAGGTTTCAGCCCTAAAAAGTTCTTGCATTTCCCACGACCTTTTCCAACAGCAATATCTGTTATCTAAGAAAAATTTTCAACAAACATCTAATATTCAGTTCATGTTAAGATTTCTATAGTTGTCCCTGAAAGGTCTTAGAGCTTATTTTTCAAACCAGGATTCAGTCAAGTTTCATGCAGAACATTTAGTCATTATATAAAAAAATATTTTTAAAAATGTGATGTCCTACATCTTGGATTTGTGTGTTTCCCAAAGTGTCCTTTAATTCATTCCTCCAACTCCTGTATTTCCCGCAAACTGGGTTAGGTCTTAGAGGCTGGATTATATTTGGCAGGACCCCACAGGGGATGTGGTATACTTCACATTGTGTCCTATCAGGAGGCACCTAAAATTGTTAGTGATGCTAACTGTTTGGTTAAGGTACGACCATCGAAACACTGTTGTGAATATGGGCTTTCCCTGGTCCAACAACTTCTGACACTTAGTGATTTTAGCATGCATTGATAATCCATTCCTTTACGAATCCTGGGTATCATGTTTGGAGAATGCAAGGGGGGGGAACCCCACCTAATTCTTTAGGTGGGAAACAGTGTCTTCTGATGTTTTCATTTACATTTTATCCCTGTGGTACTGTTTTTTCCCATCACATGCCAAGTTGCCATTCGCAGAGCGTGGGTTCTGTGGCCATACCCTAAGACCCAGTTCAAGTGCCCAACTCCGTAGATGTGGGGAAGGTTTTCACCTAAATCATGTAATGAGTTCACCATTAGGAAAGGGTTCTCTTAATGGAGAGAGAGGAGGCTGAGCAGCAAAAATGAATAGATGATTCCCTTGAGGCTATTCATCTTTTTCCTTTTTGATTTCTGTATTCGGGATATTAACCTCATATTGTGTTAGAAAGGTTTCTCTCTAAATTATCTTCTGCATTTCAGCTTTTATTATGGCACTTTTAAAGAAAGTTTGTTTTAAGTAGGCCAACTCCTACCAATGTCTTTTTGCAGTTTCTGCTTTGGGTGTCTTGAGGCACGTATGGGCTGCGCGCACCCCAGGCGCCATGAAGCCATGTTACTGTCGTTGAGCACCGAGCAACTCTGAGGTAAGCACGCCTTGCCCTTTGTGTCCTATGCAGTCTTTGCATTAGCAACCATTTTGGCACTTTTGGAGTCTGAGTTATTTAAAGAGATATTGGTTTACTCTGTGCCAGGGTTGTTGGAAATGTAAATTGTCACAACCCAGGCTTCTTTTACTTAGGACATCTAGGTGTTGAGAATCTTCTAATCCGTTCTAAACAACTTTGAAGCCCAACAGGTCTTTACCTTAATATAAGCAGAGCTTTATCTGCTGTTCCTTTGGCTGTGCTTAAATAAATGTACCCGTCTCGTCGGTTTTGTCTTAGAACAGGACTCGGTCAGTGTTTGTGGTTTCCCCATAGATCACACTCCGCTGAAAGCAAGACTGTAGTGAGACATCAAGGCTCAGATAATAAAGACCTGTGCCCTTCCAACAGACTGGAGGGCGGACCTGGAATACTTTTCTAAACAGATAATTCTATTTTAGCTTCAAAAGACCATGTGCCTGCCCTGGATAAGTGCTGTAAATCACCCTTTTCTACTACTGGGGCCCAGTCCTAACTTCTCATTTACCTTACTTGATGGGTAGGCGGCAGAAACAATTACGGGTTTGTAGCTCTCTACTGCTAAATATTCCTATAACTTATCATCTAAGCAACAGTACACACACAAACAGGCACATGCACACATTTTTCTACAGGTGTATACACTCTTGGATGTGAAAAATGAATTGTACTCAACCGCATGGGCTTTAGAAGTAGGTCTTCAGTTTAACTCTTCTACTCCCTGCTTTTCCATCTTTGTCTTGCGGTCTTTGAAGAAACTCTTCCTGCAGGGAGGTCTCAGCACCCAGCACTGCAACTGAGGACTTGCCAAGCATCTTAAGGAGGGAGGGAGTGATACAATAGACTGGCTTTGCAGAGCTTCCCAAGCCTACATATACATGTAAATCATTTTGGAATTTTTTTAATCTTGTTTTCAACTGAATTGCAAAGAGGCTAATTAAAAAATATATATATCAAATGACATAAAAGCATACAAAGCAAAAACTTGCAAGGGCAGACATACTCCACCCCTTTCCCTCCAGAGCTAACAGCCATAAAGTTTGGTGCATCTCATTCCAGAACTTTTATTGTGCCCTTATACCTTGTTTTTTTTTCTTTTAAAGATTTTATTTTTGACAGAGAAAGACACAGCGAGAGAGGGAACACAAGCAGGGGGAGTGGGAGAGGGAGAAGCAGGCTTCCCGCGGAGCAGGGAGCCCGATGCGGGGCTTGATCCCAGGACCCTGGGACCATGACCCGAGTCGAAGGCAGACACCCAACGACTGAGCCACCCAGGCACCCTTATACCTTGTTTTTAAACATAGATGTGGAATATACCATATTCTGATTCTTTCATTTTACTCAGTCTTTTTATGGTAATCCTATTTTGGCTACACAGTATTGTGCAGTAAGGATATATCACCCTTTATGTAAACATTCTCGCATTATGCATATGTGCCTCTCCTGGGCACTCCCCCCATTATTCTGTTACAGTGCTGTACTGATGATTTTTTTTTTTTTTTTTTGAGGGATCTTGATATACACATCATTTTAAGTCTTTTAGTAAGGGGGATGTCTGGAACAAAAGATAAATTTAAGATTTTTTATGTTAACCAAACCACTTCTCCCAAAAAGCTTTCATACCAACTGTGGATGGGCGTGTATTCTTTTTTTTTCCTGCTTACTTATTTTTCATCATGATAAGCGTACTCTTTAATCCTCTACCCCGCCCCCCCAACCTCCCCTCTGGTTAACCATTAGCTTGTTCTCTATCCTTAAGAGTCTGTTTCTTGGTTTGTCTCTCTCTTTTTTTTTTTTTTCCATTTGTTTTGTTTCTTAAATTCCACATAATGAGTAAGATCATACGGCATTTGTCTTTCTCTCACATTTCGTTTAGCATTATACTGTCTAGCTCTATCCATGTTGCAGATAGCAAGATTTCATTCTTTTCTATGGCTGAATAATATTCTCACGTTGTATATAACACTTTTTTTTTTTTTTTAAGATTTTATTTATTTATTCATGAGAGAGAGAGAGGCAGAGGGAGAAGCAGACTTCCCGCAGAGCGGGGAGCCCGATGCGGGACTCGATCCCGGGACTCCGGGACCATGACCCGAGCCGAAGGCAGACGCTTAACCATCTGAGCCACCCAGGCGCCCATATAACACGTCTTCTTTATCCATTCATCTGTCAGTGGACACTTGGGCTGCTTCCACAGTTTGGCCATGGTAAATAATGCTGCTATAAACATAGGAGTGCATGTATCCCTTTGAATTAGTGTTTTTGTATTTTGGGGGTAAATACCCAGTGGTGTGATTGCTGGATCATCGGATAGTTCTATTTTTAATTTTTTGAGAAACCTCCGTACTGTTTTCCTCAGTGGCTGTACTACTTTGCATTTCTTTCAACAGTGCAAGAGGATTCCTTTCTCTCTACATCCTTACCAACACTTGTTAATTTCTTGTGTTTTTTATTTTAGCCCGTCTGAGAGGTATAAGGTAATACCTCATGGTGGGGTTTTTTTGTGTTTTTGTTTTTGTTTTGGCTTTTTTTTTTCTTTAAAGATTTTATTTATCTGCCAGAGAGCGCGTAAGTGCACAAGCAGGGGGAGCGGCAGGCAGAGGGAGAAGCAGGCTCCCTGCTGAGCAAGGAGTCCGACTCAGGACTCGATCCCAGGACCCTGAGACCATGACCTGAGCTGAAGGCAGCCGCTTAACCGACTGAGCCACCTAGGCGTCCCCCTTATGGTGGTTTTGATTTGCATTTCACTGATGATGAGTGGTGTTGAGCACCTTTTCATGTGTCTGTCTTCTTTGGAGAAATGTCTGTTCATGTCAGCTGCCCATTTTTTAATCGGATTATTTGTTTTTTTAGATGTTGAATTTGTATAAGTTTTTTATATATTTTGGATACTAACCCTTTATCGGATAAGTCATTTGCAAATATCTTTTCCCATTCAGTAGGTTGCTTTTTGTTGTTGATTGTTTCCTTTACTGTGCAGAAGCTTTTTATTTTGATGTAGTCTCAACAGTTTATTTTTTATTTCCCTTGCCTCAGGAGACATAGCTAGAAAAATGTTGCTATGGCCAACGTCAGAGAAATGACTGTCTGCGCTCTCTTCAAGGATTTTTATGATTTCAGGTCTCACATTTAGGTCTTTCATCCATTTTGAGTTTTTATGTATGGTGAAAGAAAGTGGTCTAGTTTCATTCTTTTGCATGTGGCTGTCCAGTTTTCCCAACACCATTTGTTGAAGAGACAATCTTTTTTCCATTGTATATTCATTCCTCCTTTATTAAGATTAATTGACCATATAATTGTGGGTTCATTTTTGGATTTTCTATTCCATTGATCTATGGGTCTATTTTTATGCTAGTACCATACTGTTTTTTTTTTTTTTAAAGATTTTATTTATTTGAGAGAGAGAATGAGATAGAGAGAGCATGAGGGGGGAGGGTCAGAGGGAGAAGCAGACTCGATCCCGAGACTCCAGGATCATGACCTGAGCCGAAGGCAGTCGCTTAACCAACTGAGCCACCCAGGCGCCCCAGTACCATACTGTTTTAATTATCACCACTTTGTCATATAATTTGAAATCTAGAATTGTGGTACCTCCAGTTTTCTTTCTCTTTTTCCAGATTGCTTTGGCTATCCGGGGCCTTTCGTGGTTCCATACAAATTTTAGGATTGTTTGTTCTAGTTCTGTGAAAAATGCTGCTGGTGTTTTGATAGGGATTACATTAGATCTGTAGATTGCTTTGAGTAGTACAGACATTTTAACAGCATTTTTTCTTCCAACCTATGAGCATGGAATGTCTTTCCATTTCTTTGTGTCATCTTCAGTTTCTTTCATCAGTGTTTTAGAGGGTTTGTTTTTTTTTTTTATCAGAGTATAGCTAGGTCTTTCACCTTCCTGGTTAAATAGGTATTTTATTCTTTTTGATGCAATTATATATAAATGACATTGTTTTCTTAATTTCTCTTTCTGCTGCTTCATTATTAGTGCATAAGAATGCAAAAGATTGCATTGTACATAGATTTTGTATCCTGCGACTTTACTGAATTCATTTATCAGTTCTAGTAGTTTCCTGGCGGAGTCTTCAGGGTTTTCTATATTTAGTATTCTGTCATCTGCATATAGTGAGTAGTGAGTTTTACTTCTTCCTTACCAATGTGGATGCTTTTTATTTCTTTTTTGTTATCAACTGCTGTGGCTAGGACATCCAGTACTATGCTGAATAAAAGTGGTGAGAGTGGACATCCTTGTCTTGCTCTGACCTTAGGGGGAAGGCTCTCAGTTTTTCACCATTGAGTATGATGTTGGCTGTGGGTTTTTTTATATAAGGCCTTTATCAGGTTGGGCATACATCCTTGCCAGCTTTGGATACAGTATGAAAAACCTTACCCAATTCGCACTTCTCTGACAACTGAAATTGACCATTTTGTCACAGATTTATTGGCCATTTGTTTCTGGTTCTGTGGAATTGCCTATTCCTGTGCTTAGCTCATTTTCTATGAGGTTATCTTTTTTCTTCTAATTTGGAAATTAAGAAACCTGGACTAGGTTGTTGATTGCCTCTAACCCATTGCATGACCCTTCCCAAGTTTGCTCCATAGCTTGCACCTCAGAAAACATCATCCTCGAGCTGCTTACAATTCCCATTTCTTTTTTTCCAACCCTTTAGGAGGCAATGATCGATCCCTGTGTAAGTGAAACTGCATGCACAACACTGACATAGAATTTGAAGGCCCATTAATCTTTAAAGCATACTACTAGTCCAAGCAAATAATATTCATCCTGGACAAACTGAAAGCTGTGAAATATTGGCAGTTTTGAAGCCCACTGTTTGTACAGAATGAACTTCACCGTAGGTTTCTTTGTGGCCTACAGAGATCAAATCTCTGATCAAATTAGTCACAGGTCAGTCCCGAGCCTCATTTGACTACAGTCCTATTAACCTGATATTTGCTTATTTTAAATGAAAGTAAAAGAACAAGGGAAGACTGATTTCTTATCCCTGTGAAGTTTACTTCTGTCCATTCAATAGTCTGAGTGATTGCTTTGTGTCAATGACGTGCTTCAGAATGTGTTAACACAGAGCATAGGGCAGGGTGCCCAGCTTCCGGACGGCGTGTCTCATTTCCATCCAGGTGACAGGTAACTTCAGATTTGGTACTTTCCCATCCAGATTTGCCGTTGTCCTTGCCTCCAGCCAGTCTTAATATAGATGCTTTTGTAAAACTAACACCCTGTGGCTACACTGTTCAGACTGAGTTATTTCAAGCTTGAAATAACTCTTGTGCCCTGTGTATTTGTCCTCTTGTGCCCTGTGTATTTGTCCTAAACTCCCCAGAGCAAAATGGAGCTACTCAGCCTTTTTTCCTTTCATTTACTACATCCATGATACATCCCCATCCCTACGGCACAACAGACATAGAAAATGGAAACATGGGGAAGGGAAAAAGAATGTGGGTTAAACTGTGTGTGCTGTAGTTTCCATAGTCTCTAATTTTAAAACTACCTTTCAAATTAGTCACTATCATGCTTTACAGATGATAAAACTTAAAGTAAGTTACGGTCAAGCAGCTAGGAAAAGGTGAGACCCAAATTATGATACAGATTTGTCTTTCATGATGAAGGATTTTGCTTATGAGAATGAACTGGAGGAAATGTGGCTTATATAAGCTTTGTTTTTTGTTTTTAAGATTTTATTTGAGAGCGAGCGAGCACACACACACACACACGTGCAGGTGGGAGGGAGAGGGAAGAGCAGACTCAGCACTGAGTGCAGAGCCTGGTGCAGGGCTTGATCTTAGGACCCCGAGATCTTGAGCCAATACCAAGAGTCAGACGCTTAACCAGCTAAGCCACCCAGGCACCCCAATATAAGCTGTTTTGTTTTGTTTTTTAAATAGGCTGTTTTAATGTCATCTACAACCAGTATCCTAACTCTGTTTTAACATTTAACCAGTTTTGGATTGTATTAGAGACAATTCGTAAAATTGGATTGTGGGTAGGAATTAGACGTTCTTTAAAATAGAACTTGAGAAGGAAGTCCTGAGAATCTTCAGTCATTAGACATGACTAACCCAGTGGGGGTTTTCCAAGTCTGAGGTTGCTTTACATATGACTTGTAGATTTTCTCCACTTACTAGAGTAAGAATACAAGTATACCTCTAGTGCTTGCAGAAATTAGTTTTTTTTCTTTTTATGAGTACATGTATTATTTAATAAAGTACAATAAAACAAAATTTAGTGATAAACCTTTAAAGAAACTAGCATAAAACAAAAGTTCTAAAGTCATGAACAATGCAAAGTAAGCTTTAAAGGTTAAAACCCCAGCAAATATGAAATAACTGAAACAGGCAACAGCATGAATCCCCCCACCACTCCCCACCCAGGGCCCTCCAAGTTGGAGAATAGTAGGACCAAATAAAACTTCAGCTCAGAAACTGATGACTTTGAAGGCTGAGCAGGACGCTTCTCACTTTCGTAATGCAGTGTCTAGGAAAAACAACCAGAAGCCAAAAACAGTAATCATCCTCTACCTTGTGCAAGTCACCTGAATGTCTGGTACTATTTCCTCACCTGTAACAAAAAAGAAAGGCTATCCTAAAGTCTATGAAGTGAAAAATGTTAGTAATGTATTTGTTAAATGTGATGGGTTAAAATTTAGAGATTGTGACACAGAACTTACTAAAAAGACTTACTAAAAAGACTTACTAAAAGTCCTTCAAAATCATCATCTTGGGGTGGGGGGTGGTTGTACACATGTATGAGCATTGTTCCAAACAGATGTAGAACACTTTAAAGTTGTTTGCAGGACTAGATGGGCAAGCATACACCTTATTTTATGATCGTTTTTCTGGGAAGAATTAAACAATACTGTCCACCAGACTTGGCTCTAAAACACCAATTTTCAAAAAGCAGAGGAAAAACAATGTCCCTGTTAAATAATTCCAGTATCTCCTTATGTTTCTTTTGGTCATGATGGCAGCATCACTGGATTAATCAAAATTTCTACATATTCTTTATATATAGCAATATTCATTATAGCAACATTTTTAAAGTTCTAATACAATAATAAAAATTATTTTAATTCCAGAGTATTTTAATTTTTCCTTCTCTCCAGTGCTTAACCTGAAGTTGAATAGACTTTCTCCTATACTAAACCTTATACCCTGTATCCACCTCGGTTGGGAACATAAGCGAATTCGACTATATTTTAACTATGGAGTAGAATTACTGTGTACAAAAATGTCACACACAGATGGCTTGGCCTCTTTACTTCCTCTTGCCTCCATTTGACTGGAACAGGAAATCAACCATGGGGAGGCCCATCCATTATATTCTCTACTATTCTGTGTTCAGGCATTTGCATATACGTATGTATGTATGTGTATATGTGTATCTATACACACAAATGAATATCCATGATTGATTATTTAATGGACATATAAGGATAGTTAAGTGCATTGTTAGCACAATGCATTTACCTAAAACACAGGAAGTTAGGGAAATTTCACATATGGACATTTCGTTAAAAAAAAAAGTGCAATATCCTGTTGTATTAAAGCAAAAGTTGTAGGTTCTTACATTAAACCATTAAATGTTTGGTTCTGCTTCCCTAATTTCCTGAACCCACATCTTTCATTACTTACCAAATATACATTCCTGTAAGTAAATCCCTGGCCAGGTTCCTTCTTTGGCTCAATTTCTTTGCTATTTTTAATGTGCATAGTGCTCTCTCCTTTCAGCAGAGCCCAGGAGCCTGGGGTCAGCCGAGACCCATTCTCCTAAAACTTTACAACTCTCTACAGGCGTATTTACAAAGTGTTACCTGAAAATACCAAGGAGCCACTAGACATGCCATTTGTGTGCAATTCATTAAAAAGAATTTACATTCATTCTACTAGTAAGAATTATTTACTTCTCTGGCTCTGGCTTGAAAGGATATGGTAGGTGTGAGTCAACAAAACTGTCTCTGTCCTCTTCCTCCCCTTATTCATAGGCATTAGTCACTCACAGGTGTAAACCCATACACCAAAAGATCTGCGTCATAAAGTGGAGGAGATCTGAAACACAAAAGCGTAGAGTTTTGACTGTACCGTACCTCGGGGGATTAAGTACAAACCACAGCCAACAGCCAGCTCCTGAGGATTCTTCTTAGTGGTAATGAGGAAAACATTTTGAACCTGGGCCTCAAATTGCAGTATGCTAAGCAATGCAGGAACAACATGAAATGAATGTAAATTTTAACAAGTTTTAGCTTTAGGCTTCTCATTAGTGCCCTTACCCCAATTGTAATGCGCAGAATGCACCACTAGAGAGCAGTCATTTCCCTTAGGAAAAACTACACGGATTTAACCACAAGAAGGTGCCACTTCACACCCAGTAGAATGGCTATAAGCAAAGAAAAAGACATACAGTGTTGGAAAGGATGAAGAGAAACCAGAAACCTCATACTGTGCAGATGGGAATATTCTACAGTACAGCCCCTGTGGATAAGTTTAGTAGTTTCTTAAAAATCGTTACCATACAATCCAACAATTCCAGTTGTATGAACCTATGAAGATAAATGAAAACATGTTTATGTTGAGACATGCTCATGAACATTCATGGCAGTGTTAAAAAAACAGAGACCAGCCTTGAAAATTCTCTGAACAGACAAAACCAATTTAGTCACACAAACAAAACTTAATTTACCTTATTTTGCAAGACTAACTTGACCTGGGTCATTTCTTGCTTATGTCTGTGAAAATCATAAGCAAAACTTGAACAGTTCCCAAAGTTGGTACACACTGACCAATTCCCTACCATTTAAGAAAATTCTAATTTAACCAAAGACTGTGAAGAATAAACAGCTGCTGCTTTCTCACTATATAAGACACTTGATAACAAACATTCCTCTGAGCCTCATTCCATGTTTTGGTTTGAGTGCTCCCGGTGTGTGTACGAGACACTTTTACTAATTACTACTTTGGTGATGGGTTAGTTTTACTTCTGCTGTTTCTGAACTTCTGCCATGTCCTGGCAACAGAAATGGGATCCAAAGACGACCCCGAATGTCTCCAAGGCCAGTGAACAAACAGGTGCTGGTATCCATGAAGCCCACAGAACTCACTGCTTTCTCATTAATCATGGAACTTGAGGGTAGGTCTCTCTGGGATCTGAGCTCTGCTCTTTGTTTTGAGCTCTCTAACTTCATAGTGCACACCTGCATTTTGCTTGTTGGAGCTTCTTGGTAAGTCATTCTACTCAGTGAATTGGGGGGGCTGGAATGTGATTTCCCTGTGTTTTGAAACCGTTAGAAAACAGGGCCTCTCTCAGTTTAGACATCTAAAGGCAAAGACAGTTTCCACCTGGTTTATGGATGAGGCTCTTGTGCCTTTTTGGAAAATGAGTGAACTTCTGAAATTGGGGTGGCCACTTTGGGGAACCTTTAATGTAGATAGGTCCACCTTAAGAAGCACCCTTAAAAGAGAAGATTCCAAACCTCTCAGAGACCATGGAATGCATCCTTTCACTGATAGGCAGCAATTAAAGACAAAAATAACTCCAAAAAGAGCTCTGAAAGCATCCCTAGAACATGCAAATAAAAAATCTTTGGCCATCTGAGCATGTAACCTTAACTTTAGTCCATCTGTCAGAAACACAGTTTGGGAGGCACCTGCGTGGCTCCAGTTGGTTGGGTGTCCCACTTTTGATTTCTACTCAGGGCATGATCTTGGGGTCATGAGATCAAGCCCCTCATCGGGCTCTGTGCTGGGCTCGGAGCCTGCTTAAGATTCTCTCCCTCCACTCTTGCAGGCATGCACGCGCTCTCAAAAATATAAAAACAGCTTGGATCCAACAATTCTTTTGACTTTTGTACCTGAGACGTGGGTAAAATTTTCACAACAAAAGCTTTAAGATCTCTGTGGATGTCTGTATGTTTATGTACGCCTATGCATATTACAGGTGTGATATTTTGCTTTTTCCAGATGGTATTACCAAATTAAATTGCAAAGAGTTCTTTTTAATTTACTTAAAAAAAAAATTAAGTGTTTTATCAAGTATACTCTCAGAAGTATAGGAACTAACCCAGATGTTTTTCAAGGTCATATGATCTGAGATAATCTTAAATAAAAACTTGTTTAAGTTTGCTGGTTTAATAAAAGCAGGTATGTCTTCAAAATTTGCCAAAAAGAAAAATAAGATGGTTAGTTGCTTGATGCCTACTCCAAACATGAGTGTTTAAAGCAATAACTTGAAGTTTAATTTTAACTGAATGGTGGATATTCATTGGATATCTAAATCATTTCTAAACTTATATTTAGCATTTAATGTTTACCTACTTTTGGCTTTTTAATTTTCTACAGGGAGATAAAAGATACTTGGGTCCATTAATAAACATGGTTGGTGCCACACCAAAGAATCTATGAGGAAGAATATACTTCTAGAAACTATGAGATATATTTATAAATTTGTCAACCCACAGTTGCTTTTTTCTTAGGATCTTTAATTCCTAGTGAAAACAGTTAAGAATTCTAATATATGTAATATTAAAATTACTAGAAATAATAGGGATAAAAAAACAAACTGTAGATGAAAAGTAGGTAAGGAGGGGCACCTGGGTAGCTCAGTCAGTTAAGTGTCCCAACTCCTGATCTCAGCTCAGGTCTTGATCTCAGGGTCGTGAGTTCAAGCCCCCACGTTGGGTTCCATGCTGGGCGTGGAGCCTACTTTAAAAAAAAAAAAAAAAAAGTAGGTAAGGAAAACAATGTATTTTTTGGCTAAGGAAAGGTATGAAGGACTTGGGAGTTTTTACCTTGTTCTTTAGGGAAAAAAATAATTTTGTCCTAAAGTAAAATGATTGTTCCAGAAGAAGAAAGGAATCTTAAGTGTGATCCAGCCAAGATTAGAATGGATTTAAGTTTTAAAAAGACTTTTAATATCAAAAGTATACTGATGCACATTAAAATTTGGTTTCCTCTCTGTTAAAAGAGCCAAGTTTCTTCCTTAGATTATTGGTCTGCTTTTAATAAGAAATTGTAAACGAAGTGGTTTTCTTAACTTTAATGTAATTTGCCTAGGAAACAAAGATCTGTATCTTACGAAAATATTTCCTGTGCTTCAAGCCCTTGAATCTTCTATTAAAAAAGCTAAGATTTTTTTACAACTATGAAACTTCTATGTATTTGCCTTTGCAATCTTCTGTCACTTTGGTTGAATGGATAACTAAGCATCGTTTCACAGTGACCAATGATCATATTGGATCAAATGTTTTAAATCTTTTGACATTTTTTGACAAACTTCCCCAAATCAAATTCTGAATGAAAAAGAGAAGTATTAATTTATCTAGGCTTATTTGATACATTAAATTGCATGGGAAACATCAAATTGCTTAACCTTCTTAGATCCTATTTCTGGGATATGTAGGTCATTAAAATCAGAAATTATAAAATTTTTAAGAATTTCATATGTCGGTATAGTGTTATCAGTCATAGTTTCAAGTATGATCTTAAAATATTGTAGATCATAAAAAATAACCAAATTTACTTGCCAGTTGCATCATCTTGGGGGTGTATATATGAGAATTCTTGCCAGATTTGTAAGTGGCTATTATTTAAGTCTTTTGCCATTTACAGACAGTAGTTGTTTGATGGTTTTGCAGAAGTGTTCCTGCAGAAATGCTTCATTTTGAAAGAAATTCATGGGAAAGATCTTGACAATTATTCAAAGATGCAGGCTTCTGGCAACTTTCATAACACTGAACTGGGTAAGAATTTCTAAGGCTCTAATGGAAAACGGATTCATAAAGCTGCTAACCCAAGATGAAACAAAACAAGAATTACATACAACTAAATGAACTTATGAAGATGACTAGAATTTTTATTTCATTTAAAACACAACTGATTCTTTAATGTTTTTTAGATTTAGAGGACCCCTTTTTCTCCTCTCTTAAGCTATCTATAACTTACAGCAATTTGGTAAAGTGTATGTTTGCAACAAAGGCTGAAGCATTTATCGCTCTCTCTCCACGGGATCTCTCCAGATTTTGAAAACCATTTAATTAGTTCAGGATCGCCTCGGTGGCTGTCAGTTGAGTGTCTGACTCTTGATTTCGGCTCAGGTCATGATCTCCGGGTTGTGAGTCTGAGCCCCGTGTAGGGCTCCACACTGGGCACAGAGGCTGCCTAAGATTCTCTCTCTCCCCCTGCCCCCCCCACCCCCGCTCGCACTTGCATGCATGCACACACACTGTCCCTCCCTCTCAAAAAAAAAATGTTAGTTCAGGGGTGCCTGGGTGGCTCCAGTCGTTAAGCGTCTGCCTTCGGCTCAGGTCATGATCCCAGGGTCCTGGGATCGAGCCCCGCATCGGGCTCCTTGCTCAGCGGGAGGCCTGCTTCTCCTTCTCCCACTTCCCCTGCTTGTGGTCCTGCTCTCACGATCTCTCTGTCAAATAAATAAAATCTTAAAAAAAAAAAAAAAGTTCAGTAAGAATCTGTTCTCTTTGTAACAGGACACAGTTAGGTAAGTCCTAGGCTTGGCTTCCTAGCCTCAAGCTTTTGAAAGTCCAATCTGAGATTCCTTATGAAAAGTCCCAGCAAAGCAGTCAATCCCTATTCTTGCTGCAGTTGTGTAACTAATTAGGCCAACTTTATTGAAACTAGATTTAATTTGTAAACAAATTAGTCTACTGTCATTATCTCTGATCATAATGGGGAGTGATGAGAAAAATTACCTTTCAGGATAGCTGGGTGGCTCAGTCGGTTAAGCGTCTGCCTTCGGCTCAGGTCATGATCCCAGGGTCCTGGGATCAAGTTCCGAGTCAGGCTCCTTGCTCAGCGGGGAGCCTGCTGCTCCCTCTGCTTGTGTGCTCTCTCTCCCTGACAAATATATAAATAAAATCTTTAAAAAACATAAAAATAAAATCTTACAATTACCTTTCAATAATATACCTTTGTGGATACTGGATTCTAGTGCTGTTGTCTTTGAGGTTTGTTTTCTACCTGTAAACTAGACTAGTTCCTGAATTCTTCTAGTTTGCTCCAGTATTTGGCTAGAACTCTCCAACTAACATGTCCAGTTTTGACTTAGAATCAGTATGAAACTAAAACTGCCCTTTTCCCAGAGCCATGCAAGCTTAAAGCTGCGCAACCTGATACAAACTTCAGAGAAATCCTCACAACAGCTCGTATGTCTCATTCACATTGCAAACCAGGAAAATCTGTCAGACTCTCACTGCTTGCCCCCACTCCATCTGAACCCAACACTAGAAATTTTCTCAACTGACAGTTCTCCAATTTGCTATTAATCTTTCTCTTTTGTTTCCACTGAAATGCGTCTGGTTAAATTATCTGTTTGTTCACATTATATAGAGACCTAATTTAGGTGAAAGCTCAACTGAAACAGGACAGGACGAATATAAGGATGTTTTAAGTAATCACAAGGATGTGAATGCTAATTCATCATGTTGTGCCTATGTATATAAATGGGTTTCTTTTTTTTTTTTTTTTTTCCAAGTGGTTATCTCCACTCTGGAGAATTTTTCAGTCCTTTGTGGTGTTTTCCTTACAGTCATCATATTCACCTCTCCAGTGTATTGTATACTCTTGAGGGTTTTTAATGCCGTCAGCAGCCACTGACATACCAATTATCAGACAACTGGATGAACTCAACAATAACCACAGATATGATGAAGACGGTGACTACATGGCCCTCCAGTCTGACAACTCAACTGGATGAAAACCCTGAACATGTGATTCTTTGGCGTGACTAAATTAATGGTGGTAACTGAGAATAACACTATACTGGTTAATAGTATACTCAGCCTGCTAAGAAAATGACCAAAAGGGGGTAATTATTAAAAACAAATGGAGAGGGGCGCCTGGGTGGCTCAGTTGTTGGGCGTCTGCCTTCAGCTCAGGTCATGATCTCAGGGTCCTGGGATCGAGCCCCACATCGGGCTCCCTGCTCGGCGGGAGGCCTACTTCTCCCTCTCCCACTCCCCCTGCTTGTGTTCCCTCTCTCGCTGTGTCTCTGTCAAATAAAATATTAAAAAAACAAAAACAAATGGAGACCAGCCTTAAAAATTCCTTGGGCCGACAAAACCAGTTTAGCCATACACAGTAAACTTAGTTTATTTTGCAAGATTAACTTGACCTGGGTCATTTCTTGCTTATGCAAAACTTGAAATGTTTCCCCAGGTTGATATGAGGGGACCACTGACCAATTCCCTATTAATCGCTGGGAAGAATAAACAGTCACTGCTTTCCCACTATATAAGCTGTTTGATAATATACCTTTGAGCCTCATTCCGTGGTGTGAATGCTCCCAGGATATGCACAATAAACAATCACTACTTTGGTGATTGGTGTTACTTCTGTTATATATAATGCTGCTGTTAAAGTTCAGAAATAGCCAAAATTTGGTAACCAACTGGTGAATGGATAAACAACATGTGTGATACATACATAAGATGACATACTATTCAGCAATAAAAATGCTATAGTATAGATAGAGGTGAACCTCAAAAAATTTATACTAAGAAGCCAGATGCAAAACTATCTAGAATACGATTTTACTTATACCCAGGAAAGGCAAATTTATAGACAGAAACCATATTATGGTTGCTTGGGGAGAAGTGGAGATGGACTGCAAGAAGGGTCATAAAAATTTGGGGGCGAGGATTGATGAAAATGTTTAAATTTGGATTATGATAATGTTGGCACAACTCTAAACTTAGTAAATGATGGATTGTAAACATGGTGAACGAATTTTATATAAATTATATCTCAATAAAACTGGATCCAAAAAAGGCACATTGATTTAGTATTGCATTAGAGTAGATATTGAGAAGTGAGACAAGTAGAAGGAAAATTAGAACACTGTTAGAATATAATACAAATAGCCCTGTATCATTTCAGTCCTGGGCTCTGGTTTCCAGATAAGAAAAAAGAACATTGTTTGCAGATGAATGGGGTTGGGGAGGGGAATCAGGGAATTTATGGTCACGTAAAAATTTCATTACTCTTGGCCAGAGGCCAAAACGGAAACATTAAAAAAAAAAGTTGCAAAGCTTCAGGCAGAACGCAGTTATTTTCTGAATGAAAACCAATACTGTGGAGTCACATTTATGAAAGGATTTATAATATCAAGTTAAGGGTCTCGTGTATAAAACTGATACTTGAGACAAGAAGTGATAGACACATCTATGCCAAAGTAATGTTACATATCCTGAATTATCCTTTATAAATTCCTGATTTTTTAATTTACTCAAACTTCAGGGGGCGCCCTGGGTGGCTCAGTCAGTTAAGCATCTGCCTTCAGCTCAGGTCATGATCCCAGAGTCCCGGGATGGAGCCCCACATCGGGCTCCCTGCTCAGTGGGGAGTCTGCTTCTCCCTCTGCCCCTGCTTGCTCACTCACTCTTTCTCAAAATCTTAAGGAAAAAAAAACACTTCAGGTATGACAAGTATCTGGGACTAAAAACTGTTAAGGTCTACTAAATTTTACAAAGGGGTCTAGCTATAATAAGAGAAAGGTAAGTGAATATCAAGACAAAACTATGCCCCTTTTTTTGGCTCTAGAGTGGCAGTGGCAACACTCGGAGTTACTAAAGACCAATTTTTTTTTTTTTAATAAAATACACTTTTATTTTTTAAGTAAGTGCTAGGCCCAACGCGGGGATTGATCTCATGACCTTGAAATCAAGAGTCCCATGCTGTACTTACTGAGCCAGCCAGGCACCCTCTGAAGGACTCTCCCATTACTATTAGTTCCTGGATAAAATAACATTTAAAAATGCTTACTAGAGGGCGCCTGGGTGGCTCAGATGGTTGAGCGTCTGCCTTCCGCTCAGGTCATGATCCCAGGGTCCTGGGATCGAGTCCCGCATCAGGCTCTCTGCTCCTTGGGAGCCTGCTTCTCCCTCTGCCTCTCCCTCTGTCTCTCATGAATAAATAAATAAAAATCTTTAAAAAAAAAAAAAATGCTTACTAGATTTTCAGGAAAGCAGGGAAACCTCCAAGGACAATATATAAGCAGGAATGGTAAGTAAACAGAAAAGCCATGGTTGTCCTGAGGACAAATGCCCTTACCAGCACTGGGATTGAGACTAAGCCTTGGTTGAACAGTAAGGGGATGAGCTGAGCCTGATACCCCAAATTAGGCCAGGAACCAAGGAGAGGGCTAAAGTGTCCCAGGGGCAGTTCCTGGCCTAGAAAAGCAAATGCAAAACCTCTCTGAGAGAACATGCCCAATTTAGAACCTCTGGATCCCCACAAGTTCAACCAAGAAAGCATTCACAAAATAAAATCACCACACACGGTGGTAGAATGGCACCATAAAGAAAAATCCAGCGACAATAAACAGATTTAGGACCCCCCCCCAAAAAAAAAACTTCAGATACTAGGATTACCAGCCATAGTTGATATAAAATTAACTATTATGAAATGCTCAAACAAAAAGAATGAAAAAGCTTTAGGCCAAGCCTATCTAAAAGAGAATGAAATAGTACTTTTGGGAATGAAAAACAGCAGTTGAAATTAGAGATTCAGCGGTGTAACAGCAGATTAAACTTTTATTACTTCTCATTTCAGCTCTGTGTAAAGTCCCAGAAAAAGAAGTGATACTCAAAGAGTCCGTGGTTGAAATTTTCTGAGCAGAAAGATACATGACGAATACAGAGACACATATCTAGATGCATTTTAGTGAAACCACAGATCAGAACAGATGAAAAGATTTTAAGAGCAGAAAGTAAAAGGAGATCCCATAGGAAGAAAAGGATAGCAGTTAACTTAAACTACAAAGGAAACCAGGTAATAGTGGAATAACTTCAAACTGTTGAAAGAAAAGTATTAACTAGTACTGTACCCAGTAAAACTATGAAGAGTTAAGTGTTGTATACTTGAAATCTGCTGAGAGTAGACCTTAAGTGTTCTCACCAGATGCACACATAAAAGTAACTATGAGGTGATGGATGTATATGTGTTAAATCATGTTCTCTCTCTCTCTCTCTATATATATATATACACACACATACATATATATATTTTTAAATATAATCTCTACACCCAATATGGACCTCAAACTCAGCCCTGAGACCAAGAATTGCATGCTCTGACTGAGGCAGCCAAGTACCCCTATGTTCTATACTTCAAATATACAATTTTGTCAACTACAACAAAGCTAAAAAAAAATTTTTAGATATAAAAATGGCAGTAAAATGACATTTGCAGATGAATAGAAACTGAGCGATTAACTAGAACTTCCTTAAAGTAACTTATAGAAATACATCCTTTAGAAAATAAATTACCTCAGAAGGAACCTCTGAGATCACAAAAGAAAAATGATCAAAGTGAACCCAAATAAATATTGTTTACATGTGGATTGGAAACAACTAAAATACTGAATAACAAAGGTTGGATGAGGTGATGAATTTTAGTGTTCTAAGGCCCTCAGTGTTTAGGAAGGCATTTAATGTACTAAGTAACTTTAGATTGTTGAAGATTTCAATGCACATGTAAGGTTAACTACTAAAAGAACAGGAAGGGGTGGAGGGAAAACACACAAAAACATTAAAACAAAGGCAAAGGTCTTGGACAAAAATGGAAGTTCTGGTAAAATTTCTGACCACTTAACCTGCCCAACCCCCAAAAAACAGGACAAGTAGGATAACAAAATTAACCTATGTACAACATCCTAATTAAACTAGGTGTTTCAGGAACCCCAAAATTTGGGCAGGTATAAGACCTGTGAGAAATTAGCAACTGAGCAGGGGGAAAGCAACCAGGAATGTGAACCACAAAAGAGGGTAACATACTGATTGGAAAATTCAGAGGACTAGCTCCAGAACAGTACTGAAACTGGATGGGGTTTTGCCTTCTCAAATATTGAGAGCAAAGGGTTTGAGACCGGTCTGAAAAGGCTGAAGTATTTTTGGGCCCATGAACTCTCAAAACCAGTGAAAGCTCCCTTCCAGGATAAAGTCCCTAGAAACAAATACACATCTGAAGACACACAACTTAAAATGCTCAACTCTTTTTAAAATCAGCATACACCTAAAACCTCAACACATACAACTAATCGTAAAGTAGAATGTCAATACACTTCCTCTCTTGAGGAAGAGATTAGCCAAAGAAAAAAATGGCAAAGTATAGAAGATTGAGCAGCATGAACTGCTAGTTTGATATAATGCACAAATACAGAAACTGCACCAAAACAGGCTTTTTAAGAATACATAAATAAAGGGCGCCTGAGTGGCTCAGTTGGTTAAGCGACTGCCTTCAGCTCAGGTCATGATCCTGGAGTCCCAGGATCGAGTCCGCAATGGGCTCCCTGCTCGGCAGGGAGTCTGCTTCTCCCTCTGACCCTCCTCCCTCTCATGCTCTCTGTCTCTCATTCTCTCTCTCTCAAATAAATAAAATAAAATCTTTAAAAAAAAAAAATACATAAATAAAATTTAACTCCATAATTGGCCATGAAACAAGTTCAATACATTTCCATGAAGTGGAGTCAAACAGATCATGATCACTGATGAAATGAAAAATAGTAATTTAAAAATATACTTCTAGGGCGCCTGGGTGGCTCAGTTGGTTAAGTGACTGCCTTCGGCTCAGGTCACGATCCTGGAGTCCCAGGATCAAGTCCCGCATCGGGCTCCCTGCTGGGCGGGGAGTCTGCTTCTCCCTCTGACCCTCCTCCCTCTCATGCTCTCTGTCTCTCATTCTCTCTGTCTCAAATAAATAATAAAATAAAATAAAATAATTTAAAAGTATACTTCTAAACTCCTGGCTCAAAGGAAAACTTGTAATAAGCATTTTAAAAATGTTTAGAAGTGGGCGCCTGGGTGGCTCAGTTGGTTAAGCAACTGCCTTCGGCTCAGGTCATGATCCTGGAGTCCCTGGATCGAGTCCCACATCGGGCTCCCTCCTTGGCAGGGAGTCTGCTTCGTCCTCTGACCCTATCCCCTCTCATGTGTTCTCTCTCTCTCATTCTCTCTCTCTCAAATAAATAAATAAAATCTTAAAAAAAAAAAAATGTTTAGAAGTGAAAATGAAATGAAATAATGAAAATAAAACTTGTGGGATCCAGAAAATGATGGTATTTTAAAAAATAAAACTTGCCAAAACTGACTTAAAAATTCTAAAATATCCTATTATCAATAAAATAATGAACTGGTAGTTAATTTTTCCACAAAAGAAAACTGTAGGCCCCCGTGGTTTTACAATGAGGTTCTATCAGATGTTCAAAAAGTGGATTATTTCAATGTTAAGGAATTCAGAGAAAAGAATATTCCATAACTCATTCTATGAGGCTAAAAACTATGAAAACAAAGTAACAGATTAATCTCATTCCTGAGCACAGATGTAAAAGTCCTAAACAAAATATCAGCAATTAAAGTTCAGAAGTGTATTTTTAAAAAATGATCGTTCCTTAATGAGCAAGTTGCTTTAGCCCAAGAATGGCTAACATTTAAAAATTTTTAAATGTGTAATTCACCACATTACCAGATTAAAGTAGAATAAACACATTTACTTCAAGAGGAAAAGAAAGTGTTTTATAAATTTCTACCCCTATAATAAAAGCTTAATAAAATAGAAGGAAACTTCCTTGCCCTGATAAAGAGTAGCAAAACCTAGTAAAATTCAATATTGTAGGGCTGTTAGTACTCCCTAAATAACTACAGATTAAATATGATTCTAGTTAAAGAAAAAAGGGGCGCCTGGGTGGCTCAGTCAGTTAAGCGTCTGCCTTCGGCTAAGGTCGTGATCGCGGAGTCAGCGGGAAGCCTGCTTCTCCCTCTCCCACTCCCCCTGCTTGTGTTCCCTCTCTCACTGCCTCTCTCTCTCTGTCAAATAAATAAATAAAATCTTTAAAAAAAAGAATCTCCTGTTGTTTTTCTTCCCAAAGAATTTGACAACTGATTCTAATATTTAATGAAAGAGCAAAAGGCCAAGAACACTCCTTAAAGTGAAGGGAGACTTGCTCTATAAGCTATCAAGACTTGTAATCAAGTTACAGTAATTAAAATAATGTGCCACCTTAGCTCTTGGTTAGACAAATTAACCAATAGAATGGCAAAGAAAGTCCCAAAATAGACATTTATGTGGAAATTCGCCATGTAGATAAAGTCCCCAAGGAAAGGATGGATTAGTCAATAAACAGCAGAAAGAAAACCAGTTATCCACATAGTAAAAAATTAAATTGCTTCTCACACATACATAAATCAATTCCAAGGGGACTAAAGGCAAATGTGAGACTCTGACTGCTAGAGGAGACTATAAGAAAGATCTTAAGCCATAGGATGCCTGGCTGGCTCAGTTGGTGGAGCATACGACTCTTGATCTCAGGGTTGTATTCCAGCCCCATGTTGGGTGTAGAGATTACTTAAGAATCTTAAAAAATGTGTTTTTTTTAAGGATTTAAAAAAAATTTTTTTTTTAGATTTGAGAGTGTGCATGCATGCACACAAGCAGGAGGAGAAGCAGAAGGAGAGGGACAGAGAGCATTTCAAGCAGACTCTGCGCTGACTGCGGAGCCTGACAGATGTGTGGAGGTGATCTCACAACCATGAGATCATGACCTGAGCCACCCAGGCGTCCCTTAAAAAAAAAAAAATCTTAAGACATAAAAATAACTATATTTGAATGTGTTAAAATTAACAGTAGAAATATTAGTATCCTATTATGAAGAACTCTTCTAAGAAAAAAATGACAAAAGACACCAGGAAGTATTTCACAGAAGAAACAAGAATAGTGAAAACATGTTCAACTCATTAGGAAAATGCAAATTAAAGCCACAAAATGTCATTTTTCACCTACCAGATTGGCAAGAATCAGATCTTCTAGTAGTAAACAAATGATAAACCATATTGTAAACTAGCACAACCATTCTGGAAAATAACTATATTATTTCTTATAAAACTGTTAAAAAGCTAATCAGGCACATACCTTACAACCAACTCTGCTTCTAGGGATACACTCTAAAGAAATTCTTGTAGATCTGTACCAAGAAACTAATGAATGTTCATTTTAGAATTGTCTGTAAAAGCCAAAAACAAAAATAAGGAAAACTATACCCAATTAAATTATAAAAATGAGCCTGTTGAATGGAAAAATCAAGTAACGTAAGACTACATATTAAGTACAATACTATTTTGCATAAAGTTCACCAAAAAAAGTAAACATTATGTAGGATATATAGATATATATATATAAAGCAAAAAACAAAAAAGTGATTGATTCAGGACAATAGTTACCTCTGGGGAAGAGGGTAAGCTGGGTACTGGAATTGGGAAGAACATGAAAGTACAGTCAATACTATCAGAAATGTTCTAGTTCTTAATTAGTGAGTGTGTACATAGGCATTTATTTATTCATTAACTCCATACGCATATATTTTTATATATGAATTAAACATTACATAAAGAAATATAGTGACCAGTGGTTGCCAGAGGTTGGGTGTGGGGGGTGGACAAAGTCGGGGAAGGTGGTCAAAAGACACAAACTTCGTTATAAAGTAAGTCCTGGAGATACAATTACAGCATGGTGACTGTAGTTAATAATGCTGTGTTGTATATTTGAAAGTTGCCAATAAGAGAGATCTTAAAAGTTCTCACCAGAAGAAAAAATTGTAACTGTGTTGTGATGAATCTTGACTTGTTTCACAAAATATACATATATTGAATCATTATGGTGTACACCTAAAACTGTTATATGTCAATTATATCTCAGCTAAAAAAGTGACCAGAAACACTTTTATATTGCTAAGACACTATGAAAAAGGAAATCATCTTCCCTTAAATGTATGTACACTACCTTGTAAAAGCAGATGTATAGTATAGCTGGTTAGGTGGAACAATGGGGTTTTTTGGTCACAATACAGGTTGTAACCACGCATTAGTTATGGATCTTGGACAAGTCATTTAATGTCTTTGAATCTATTTTTTAACTGTAAAATACAGAATTATTATAAAGATTAAAATGCTATAAAGTGGTACAAACTACATTTTTTAAAAATTATATTTTCCCCTTGACTATTACCCCAATTTAAGAAACCCCCTTATAGGGCACCTGGGTGGCTCAGTCGGTTAAGCATCCAACTCTTGATTTCAGTTCAGGTCATGATCTCAGGGTCCTGGGATCAAGCTCTGCGTCAGGCTTCCTGCTCAGCAGGGAGCCTGCTCAAGGATTTTTCTCCCTCTCCCCCCACCCAACATGTGCTCTCTAAAATAAATCAATCTTTTTTTTTAAGATTTTATTCATTTATTTAATTGACAGAGAGAGAGAGAGATGGCAAGAGAGGGAACACAAGCAGGGGGAGTGGGAGAGGGAGAAGCAGGCTTCCCACTGAGCAGGGAGCCCGATGCGGGGCTCGATCCCAGGACCTGAGCCGAAGGGAGTCGCTTAACCGCTGAGCCACCCAGGCGCCCTAAATCAATCTTTTAAAAAAAGAAAAAGAAGCCCCTTATATTCTAAAGAGTTTGTTCAGGTAGGCTGAACTTAGCTTCAACCATTAATATAATGGAAGAGTAACTGTTTAAAACAACAAAAACCACCAGAATTTTTGCATCAAATAATATTTCCCCTCAAAGAAGCTATATACTTCTTTCACCAAAGTTACTATTGCTCAGGGGCGCCTGGGTGCCTCAGTGGGTTAAGCATCTGCTTTCCGTTCAGGTCATGATCCCAGGGTCCTGGGATGGAGCCCCGAATCATGCTCCCTACTCAGCAGGGAGTCTGCTTCTCCCTCTCCTGCTCCCCCTGCTTGTGCTCTCTCTCACACACACTTGCTCTCTAATAAATAAAATCTTTTAAAAAAAAAAGTTACTATCGCTCAGGGTGATTTTAGAAATCTTCCATTGGAACGGTCTATTTGCGAAAAAATTTTTCCAGTAAACGAAAATCTTAATTTTTTGAGGGTAGATGTCCCCTGTTGTAACTGTAAGATATTTTTAATCAAGCTTGATGAATAAAGTACACATGGCTGTAATCAAGATTTTGGTCAAAATTAACATGACTGGGCGCCTGGCTAAGGCACCCCTTAAAAACTTTTTAAATTAAAAATAGCGTATGACTAAAATGAGTGACAAGACTAATTCTCTTGGATGTCTTACAAATGGATTCTTCTGGCCATTTTCAGAAAAATATTTAGCAATGGCAACATAATTGGAAAAGAAAAAACAAACTTGGAAGGACAACATTCATCCTAATGCATAAAGAATCTCATTTCTATACAAGTCTGCAGTTGCTGAAGAGACCATTGCTTTAATCAGTTACTAAGATTAGTGAAACTACTTACATTAGTTGCCTACATCCTTTATTTTTTAATTATTATTATTATTTTAAGTAGGCTCCATGCCCAGCATGGAGCCCAATGCAGGCCTTGAACTCACAACCCTGAGATCAAGACTTGAGCTGAGATCAAGAGTCAGATGCTTGGGGCGCCTGGGTGGCTCAGTCGTTAAGCCTGCTTCTCCCTCTCCCACTCCCCCTGCTTGTGTTCCCTCTCTCGCTATGTCTCTGTCAAAGAAATAAATAAATCTTGGGCACCTGGGTGGCTCAGTTGGTTAAGCGACTGCCTTCGGCTCGGGTCATGATCCTGGAGTCCCGGGATCGAGTCCCGCGTTGGGCTCCCTGCTCGGCGAGGAGCCTGCTTCTCCCTCTGACCCTCCCCCCCTCTCATGTGCTCTCTCTCATTCTCGCTCTCTCAAATGAATAAATAAATCTTTAAAAAATAAAAAATAAAAAAATAAATCTTTAAAAAAAATGTGATGTAAAAAAACAGAAAACGTTCTTAACTGATAAGATATGAATTAGATTCTAAATGCATTCTCTATCATGTAAGACATGGAGAGAAAAAAGAAACAAAGAAAATTCTTAAGTTTACCCTTGGCAATAGGAGTTTATATAATTTCAACAATCTCTTATCTAGGCATTTAACAGCATTATAAATTCAAAATGTGTGTGGGAATTAAGAGAAAAAATAATATTCCTTAAAGGGAGTACAAAGTTTATTTAAACATTTAAAATAATTTAAAATAATCAGTTACACAGAGTACAATGAAATTAACCAAAACCAATACCAAGTAATTTGTTTTTAAAGTGGCAATACAATATAGGAAAATGGTGGCTTTAATAACTTTATGGGACAATCACACAAAAGCACCTACTTCTTGAAGAAATAATAATATGCAAATTTTCACCATTTCAAAATTTTATCTCTGTATCACTTTTTGGTTCTCTTATTAACATCTGAGGTTAAAATGAAAGGCCTCACAATTAAGTAGCCATATTCTTTTAATAATGTCATCTCTTTATTCCTATGAATTTAATCATCTTTTAATTGCATGATTCCTTCAGCCTGATTCTCATTTTATATCTCAAAGAATGTTTTTAATAAACTGTGAGTACTGGTTCCACTATTTATCTTTCATAACCATTTTCAGGTCCTTCAAAACTATGCTTCTAACGATCTACACATAATATAACAGACAGCCACATGTTTTCTTCACTTCGCTTTACTTCCCTTATGAGTAGTTCCTATTTTATGGGTAGCTAGGGTATGTTAGTATGTTAGATGACTACGGTATAGTAAAAACCAGAAATAGACATTTAACACCTTAAAAAAAAAAAAATTTAACACCTTTATGTTCCTAAACTCTACACACGTGACAAAGGCAGAAATACGTTAAAGAAAAAAACCATTTTAAATAATCTTAGAAACAATAAGACCATGATCCTCTCTCCCACAAAATAAATATAACATACTAGTAACCATAGCCAGACAAGCATTATAATACAAGAATTCCAGATAGTTGAAGCCAGGTGTTGAGATTTATGCTCCACATCCAGCTAGTTATAACCAGTCCAGTGAGTGCTAGAGAGTTAAATGTTTTGAGGAATGACTGAAATATGGTTATAGTTATACAAGAGAACATTCAATTCAGATCCAGCAAAGACTTATGAACTTGCCTACAGGCTGACAGCAAAAAGTGGCAATAATTTGGGAATTTTTAAATCTGCCTCATGAAAGACCTTCTTCTGCTAGCCTGAGATCCTCTTACAAATTTTTTTTTTCTTTTTTTGGTCTAAAATACTCAATAGACACTGGCTTTTGTAATGTGGCTTTCTACCCTCTTTACTGATAAGCCCAGGCTACATTTTAATGAGGACCATCAGAGTTAGTAGGCAATGAACTTCAGAGCTGGGTGGGTGGGGGTAGTGTTCCTCAGTGCCCCAGCGTCCTTGTGAACCAGCAATGAACTACACTAAATTATGAGGCATGATGACAGGAAAATTCAGGGAGGCCTGAAAGAGAGGTACCAAAGTGCATTGCAAATACAAAACAGAATATTTTAATATTCATCATAAATATTTATACAAATATTTACATATAATGAATAAGCCATTTTTAATACTGGCTAAAACCATGGAAGAGCTATTAAGTCAGCAGGTCTATCTATATCCTGGGTTCAAATTAATGCATAGAAATATTTTCAGTTGAAGTTCAATAAATAAATATACTGAAGGTGATTAAACAGAAAAAACAGGAAATTTCAATTTTGCTCTGTTTTTAACAATATCTTTTATTGGTAATAATGGACTTAAACTAATCAGTAAACCATAATCTATAAAGAATTTTTGTAAAAATGCATTCATTTTCTGATAATAAATACATCCAAATTGCAGTTTTTTTAAAAACCAGGATGGTGGAAAAGAGCAAAATGGAAAGGTAATAATCCTGGGCTCAAAACCAAATGATTAAATCAAAGACAGAAATATTTTGATTCCTCTCAGGGAGTCATGTAATCGGCACCATTTCTTCTCAGGGTCTCTCAACTGGACAACAGAGTAATATCAACTCTAAAGCCTTCTCCTCTAATATTTCTTCTGGTTCAATTTTTGCTAATATAAAACAAATCCTTTTTGCATGAGATGAAAAAATAAAAGTGTAGATTTATTCAGATGGGATTAGTTCAAACAGATATTTGGTGCCCTAAACAAGTCAAACTGAAATTAAGAGCTTCTTACAGCACTCCCATAAAGCTTCTGAAAATCCAGCCAAGTGGCACTGAGAAAGAGTAAACATTTTTTCTACTTCTGTAAATAGCCAAGAAATTGAAAAATCGACATCTAGAAAAAAGCAAGGCATAAATTCATCAGCACCAAGTAGAAATGATCTTCAAAAGGAGGTCTTTTATGTGTCCTGATATACTTGTGTTGATGAATAGGTTCTAATCTCCCCTCTAGGAAAAGTCCACTGCCTACAGTTAACACTTTTAGGCAAAAGAGAAGGTAAAACTCAGATAAAATAGAAATGATTCCATTTTACATTTTGATTTATCCAAAATGTCTTTAAAGAGGGATTTCAAGGTTTTGGTACTACTTTAAACATTTTTCAGAGGAGGCATGGTTTCAGGTTAGATTGTTTTTCTTCCCTATCCCATTATTTGCTAAAGCGGGAAGTATCAAATTTACTTTTATTACAACAGATCTTCAGCTACCATTCTAAATGTTGCACTTAGTCACAATACAACAGTTTCCATTTAAAATAAGACTCTAGCAGTAGTGAAAACTATTCAGAGGTGGTCATACAAGATCCTGGTTGTCCTTCTTGCCTATCAAATATGACCAAATTGTTGGTGGCTGGAGCTCAAATCACATACAATCAACCACATTATTGGATCCATGGCCTACATCTCGAATTTGGCTGGTTAAACAGGCACACACAGCTACGCCCGCTCCAGCTCTGCAGTGAGACACAGATCCAACCAGCTCCCACCTGAAGAGACAGAGGAGAAAGTATGTTATCTTAAAGCATGATTTACTTTGCTCAAAATACCAACCATAGACAAAAACTCCCTATTACTGGGACTGGTTCTGAAAGACAGCAAGGTTCCTCAGGGAGATAAGATATCCCCAAGGTTTTATCTTAATAGGTACGTCTAATAGTATTTTAGCACTCTGGAATAAGCATTTACTGGAAGATCCCATTAAAGCATACAGAAAAAATGAAAATTACCTATTCAACACTGGATCAAATGCTTCCACTGTATTTAAGTATGCATTGCCATTATGCCCACCAACTGCAAAGATTTTGCCCATCACTGTTGCAATCCCCACTCCACCCCTGGGAGTGGTAAGTGCTGCTACATAATCCCATTTGTTGTTTCGAGGATCATACCGCTCAACTGAACTCAGAGGAGAATTATCATCAAAACCACCTATATATATATATAAAAAAAAAAGATTTTAAAAATAGTACTACATTTCATAGAAATTAACTATTAAATCTCAATCCAATAGCTTCTACAACCCAATCTTTTAAAAACATTTTAGAAAATAGAGAAAACTGGGAAAAAATTCACCCCACTACCTATCATCACTACCAACTCCTATTAGACATTTTTCTGTAATTTGAGATAACTTAGTATTTGACCTCAATACTAAGATTAAAAATCTTAAAATAGAAAAACTGAAGTCCCTGTATCTAAGCAGATAATTTAGGAGAAAAAAAACCCCCACAACATTCATAATTCGTCCTTCACCTCCTAGAGGTAAGTAAGATAGTATTGAGATTCCTTCTCTGTATGTTGTTTATTATATTTTTAAACAGTAAGAGTGCCTGAGAAGAGAATAAACTACCACTGAATCATTTGACTCAAAAGTTTTCCAACTGTTTCCCCTAATACTGTAATTGTCATCATAATTACAGAGACGGCTATGAATGATCTCACCAATTTTTGCCAAAACTACATCTTCATGCTACGTATTCTAGATGATGACAGTTCTCTCTATACATCATTCTAACAATGCTACTTATTATATTCCTGAGGGTTAAATATAGAGACTGTTATTTTGACAGTGTTCTTTCCCTTAAAAATAAATGTGCCTCTTTTTAGACTCTCATCTCTTACTACATGAGTAATAACTCTTCAGCAACTAAGCCTATTTTCCTGAGGATAGGAAGTGTTGCTATTATGAGCAGTCTATTCAGAAACAAGGTCAGTTTAAAAAAAAAACAACCTACAACAGTTAACTTCTCTAATGGGTTTAATTAAATCAATTTAATTGAAATAAAATTCACCAATTTTATGTGTGTAACTTGGTAAATATTGACAAATGTGTACAGCAGTATCCTCACCACCGCAACCATGATACAAAACATATTTCATGACAATAAAGGGTTTAGCTCTCCTAAGTAGGGAGCTGTGAGAGGTAGCAACTGTGTAGTGCAAGAACTCTGGTTTCTCATAGACCCAAGTTCAAATTCCAGCTTTGTCACTAGTTTAGAAGGCGTGTGACTATGAGATAAATTATTCACGCTCTCTGAGTCTTTGCTACCTCACAGAGCTGTGAGGATCAGACAAGATCTAAAGTAAATTATGTTACCTATATTTCCAAGCACTGGAATATTCAGCATTACTTCTATTACTTGCAGATATTTCAATGCTAATAATATCCCACACTCTCTTATCAAGAACTGTAAGTTATGTAATACCAAAGAGTTTACATCAACATAAGTGCGACATATGCTAGTTACAACCTCTCTGAACAATTTCTTTCTCTGTAAAGGAGGGAATTACTAACCACAATACTGCCATCCATTTACTGGGTAACGGATGCAGTTTGAGATGCTTCACATATACTATCTCTAATTCTTAGAATAATTCTCTCAAAGATAATTCTCATTATTAGTTCTCATTAATAATTTTCATCATTATTCCCATCTCATAGTTCTTTAAAACCTTGCTACTGGAAGTGTGCTGAATGGACCAGAAGCAGCACTGATTATCATTTGGGAGCTGTTAGAAATACAGAATCTAGGGGCGCCTGGGTGGTTCAGTCGTTAAGCGTCTGCCTTCGGCTCAGGTCATGATCCCGGGGTGGGATCAAGCCCCGCATCGGGCTCCCTGCTCCGTGGGGAGCCTGCTTCTCCCTCTCCCACTCCCCCTGCTTGTGTTCCCTCTCTCGCTGTGTCTCTCTCTGTCAAATAAATAAATAAAATCTTAAAAAAAAAAAAAGAAATACAGAATCTGGGCTCCACCCCTGCAGCTTAACAGTATCTTCAGAATATTCATACGCATATTAAAGTTTGAGAAAGCAATGCCCTATGGTTCCTTCCAATTCTGCAATTCAGTAAGTAAAAAGCAAGATAGGGATACCAACAGCCATTATGCATATGAAATAGCCATTGCTTTGCTTAAAGGAGTCAACATAATTCCCTTGAAGATGAGAAAAAAATTTCTTAAATCTTTAAAGATTTTAGCAAAGCACATCTGTGTTCTTACATTAAAAAATATGTATCTTATTTAAATATAATCCTCTACCTTAGATGCATTTGCTACTCCTAAAACATGAAACATGAAGGCATAAGCAAAAAAGCATGAATGTGAACCTTAGTAATTTGAAAGCCAATCTTAGGACTATTCCATTTGAGCCTAAATGCAATATAATTTGTGTTACTGTATTGTCTTATGACACTACCACTGTACATCCTGCAATAAATTAGAGAAATACCATCCACTCACCAACAACGTATAAGCAACCATGGAGCTCACTGACTCCATTGCCTGCTCTTCGTTGACCCATTTCTTTAACTTCTATCCACTTGTCCAGATGTGGATCATACCTCTCCACACTAGATAAAGAAGCTACTCCATCATTG